ACCTCCAATTTTACGTGGGAGAAAACCCGAATAACCAAAGACCTACACACACACACACACACACACACATGTGTGTGTGTGTGTGTGTGTGTGTGTGTGTGTGTGTACAGTTAATATTTCGGGTTTCTTCCTGTGTAATTGTGAACATATCCCTAAAAGGGTAGAAGCGACGTTTCGACAGAATCTATATATATATTTGGTTACGTAGGGAAAACCTGGCTAGAGGAAAAACACACATAAACCCTACGAAGAAGTAAGAAAATAGATATATATATCCATATATCTATATGTGTATATAGATATAGATATATATGTGTGTGTGTGTGTGTATATATATATATATATGTATGTATGTATGTATGTATGTATGTATGTATGTATATATATATGTATGTATGTATATATATATAATTAATTTATATTTTGCTGATAAAGAAATAAAGGGAGACTAGTATAGATCTATTTCAAGCTTTTTAGCTTTCATCAGCTAGCCATACCCTTACTCGGATTCGAACTTGGGCTTCCTGCATGTTAGGCAGTTGAATTAACCTTCTGAGCCACAAGTTCAGCTTGAGCCAGGGGAAAGATTAAGTGTAGAAAAACACAGAGCACAGAGCTCCTTCTCCTCTGCAAGAGCCCTAGGATTCCTCTCCTCCAAGTCAAAGCCCAGGGCAGATCTCCTGAGCTTTTTGAGACCAGATGGGGGTGGAATAGCTGCTGCCGTCTAGCTGTCTTTACCAACCTCCGTGCCTCGTCTAGCACGAGAAAAGAATGCAAGAAATTAACCCCTGAAAGGTTTTACCTTTGCCTTTTATTGTCCGTATGGATTTGGAATCGCTCCAGTTGCCCACTCCACGGCTTGTAACTGCGGCAACCTTTTCGAAAACAGAAAAAGCTTGTTAAAATAAGCAATCCATTGTCCTGGATAAAATAGCTCTTTTTAAAGCAAACAAAAGGCCAAGGAAATTTGTAAGTGAACGGCAGGGAAAGGAGCGAGGACCGGATGACATATTCACTGCTATTCTGAAGGAAATGCTGAGCGATCCGAAAACCAGGATCACTCCACCCTCTCGCCAAAGGGATAGGGACTACAAAACCCGGGATTCCCAGCCAGTACAACTCAAAAGCTTGGGGGGGAGGCCACTCTCAAAAAGCCAGACGACTTTTGCCAAGTGATGGATCTCAACAGCCATGGATAGACCCTGCTGCTAACCACAGGTGGCCAGTGGATGGAGGAAGGCGGAGGAAGATGCTCGCAGAAGGTTCCCACACAATTATGGGTTATTGTCATCAAAGGAAACCAGCCAAGAGGTGTCCATCAAGGAAATGTTAAAGAGAAGAACAAAGACAGCAAGATTCTTGCTTAGGACGAGAAATCCGGAAGACATTCTCAGAAGAAGCTTCTGCAAGGACATTCCTCCCGTGGTTCTCCATCGTCAAACAATCCTGATAGGTTGCAGTTCCATCAGAATCTGCCCTTCGGTTGGCTGCCTTACCCTGAATCCATTGCCCTTTAAACATCCATTCTTTTGGGGACAACAGAAGAAGAGAAATCTCCTAGTTCTACAGGCCAAGATCAGCTGATGCTCGTAGAGGGCTAAGAATAGAGTAGAGTAGAGTAGAGTAGAGTAGAGTAGAGTAGGGTAGGGTAGGGTAGGGTAGGGTAGGGTAGGGTAGGGTAGGATAGGATAGGATAGGATAGGATAGGATAGGATAGGATAGGATAGAATAGAATAGAATAGAATAGAATAGAATAGAATAGAATAGAATAACAGAGTTGGAAGGGACCTTGGAGGTCTTCTAGTCCAACCTCCTGCCCAGGCAGGAAACCTTACACCACTTCAGACAAATAGTTATCCAATATCTTCTTAAAGACTTCCAGTGTTGGAGCATTCACAACTTCTGGAGGCAAGTTGTTCCACTGATTAATTGTTCTGACTGTCAGGAAATTTCTCCTTAGTTCTAAATTGCTTCTCTCCTTGATTAGTTTCCACCCGTTGCTTCTTGTCCTACCCTCAGGTGCTTTGGAGAATAGCTTGAATCCCTCTTCTTTGGGGCAGCCCCTGAGATATTGGAACCCTGCTAGCATGTCTCCCCTCGTCCTTCTTTTCATCAAACTAGACCTACCCAGTTCCTGCATAAAAGGAAACATCTACTCACTCTGAAAACATATAAGGCGTTGACCTGCAACATCTCAACTTCGGAACAGTTAGTGGGTGCCCTCACGGAAGACCATTCCTTCGAACCGGCTCTGCTGTATTCCACCTACCAGGACGGAAAAACAGGGACAACCATCTCCTTGCTAAAGTCACCTCGCAGTAGGCTTTCAGATCTTTAAGATCCTGCCGTGATCTCCAATGAAAGGTGTGAATCTGCAAGTTTGACCTCAGGTATTTGTGGAGCGAAATGGCAGTTGAGTAATATCACCGGAGGGGAAAATGGCGCCCCTGTCCAATGCCTGTTAAAATCAATTCTCCCTCATCGGAGTCAGGGTATCTCCATGTAAACACTGAGATACTTACAACGTATTCTCTGATGAGACCGTGGGCGTTTGCCGGAGGCGCCCACTGGCAAACCACGATGCCTTCAGCTTCTTTTTTCAGCTGCAGTTGAAGATGGCGGGGCGGATCTGGAACTGGAGAGAGAGAAGGAGGGAAGGAGGAAGGAAGGTGGGTAAATAAGTGGTCCTGTTGGAGCAAGCCAGGGACTGATCCATCCCAGATTTCTGTGTCTCTTAGTGGCCAACCAGATGCATGGAATTCAGCAGCTTGGAGAACAGAGCAACTGATTTCTTGCCCTGGTGGTACCCAGTCCTAGTGTGTCTAGTCTCCTGTGTTTGGGGTCTTGTTTGTAGACCCCCCCAAAAAAGTTATCAACACTGCCAGCCATTAAGAGCACATTCTTCCATGCATCCTTCTTTGGTGGAAAGGACAGGGAATCCTTGAATCAAGTACAGCTCTCCATCTAAATGACTTCCTTGGAGCTACTCCTTGCAGTTGTGGAAATTAAAACAATTCAGCCACCCTTTGTACATAATGCTACAACCACATGCCCATCGGATGAAGAAGGTAGAAAGAAATGGGATTCATAACCTCGAGAAGGTTGAAAGGGCCTCCTTCTGCATCTTTCCAGAATGCAGAAGAACATGGAACAGTGATCTTGAGGGACAAATTTTGCTTGAAAATTAGAAAGAAACTCCCAACAGGAAGAGTGGTTTGGATGGAACCAATGTCCCAGAAAGGGTTGGGGACCTCTATGTAGTTGGAGAACCTTGATCAACATCTATAGGGGAAGTGTCTGACACAGGGGTGAAATTCAAAATTTTCCCCTACCGGTTCTGTGAGCGTGGCTTGGTGGGCATGGCAGGGGAAGGATACTGCAAAATCTCCATTCCCACCCCACTCTGGGGCCAGCCAGAGGTGGTATTTGCCAGTTCTCTGAACTACTCAAAATTTCTTCTACCGGTTCTCCAGAACCTGCCAGAACCTGCTAGATTGCACCCCTGGTCTGACAGTAAAGTCATTTAGGGACCTTACCATTTCCTGCCCTGATCATCTATCGTTTGGATTTGGGTCTGGCTAGTTAGAAAAAAGAAGGACTAGGGGGGACATGAAATCAGTATTCCAGTATTTGAGAGGCTGCCACAAAGAAGAGGGAGTCAACTTATTTTCCAAAGCACCAGAAGGCAGGACAAGAAGAAATGTGTTAAGTTTCCGAAAGATGCCCTAATTAATTCATGAGCCATGATCCAAACTTCAAAGGAAATATAGTCATTTATTAGGAGCAACATTCCGGCAATACTGGGATGTAGTTAGGACTGATCCTATGTAGATTTACGTTCCTCTATGACCCTGTCTCTCCCCTCCTCTCTGGCCATGTCATAAATCACATTCTCCAATTAACCACTTTGGCTGGCTGTGAAACCTAACACTCTCCTTCTGATTTCGGTCAGGAAGAATGTATGGAATTCACTTCATTTCTCCCTCCCTCCTGCTCATGGCAACTTGAAAGCTTTGCAAGTTGACAAAATGGATGGAAACTAATCCAGGAGAGAAGCAACCTGGAACTAAGGAGAAACTTCCTAACAATGAGAACAATTAATCAGTGGAACAGACATTGTGGGTGCTTCGTCAGTGGAGGTTTTTAAGAAGAGACTGGACAGTCACTTGTCTGAAATGGTATAAGATCTCCTGCTTGACCAGGGGGCTGGACTAGAAGACCTCCAAGGTCCCTTCCGGCTCTATACTGATTCTGACTCATTTAGAGATCATTGAAAGGTGCAAGAGACCTTCTCCTCTGCAACTAAGTACTTGTGCCCCAGGCAATATGAGTTTTTACCCCACAGTTACCCCATGCAGGCTGTGAAGAAATGGACTGGCTTACGTCCTTCTGGAGTCCGTAAGACTATGAAATCGTTGGTGTTGTACACTTTGCTCAAACACTGGACCTGGACCTTGACTTGATAGGTGCAATCCGGCTTCAGTACTTTCAAGATGGTGTTGGTCTTGCTACTGTGAGTTTCCACCGATTTCCACATGCTTTCTCCCACCATCCTAGAGTGGGCAAAAACCACAACATCACCGCGGTGGAGTGACGGGACAGGCGGTTTTGAAGCTGTTCCATGCATGCATGCATTCATCATTTTGTCTTGATGCTGCTAGAAATACATTTACTTACTTACTTTACTTACTTTATTTGATTTATATACCGCCCGACTCCTGAAAGACTCAGGGCGGTGAACAGCCAAACAGTAAAAATACATAGATACAAAATTTAAAAACAAAGTAAAATCGAATTAAACAATTTGGCCCAGACAGATTAAAACACCCCAATCATTTAAAAACCAATTAAAATTTGCATAATTAAAAAGAGGGAAAAGATTAGGCCAGGCCCGCCTGGTGGAATAAAAAGGTCTTAAGAGCGCGGCGGAAGGTGCGCAGATCCGGGATCCTCCGTATCTCCGGGGGGAGCTCGTTCCAGATAGAAGGTGCCCCCACAGAGAAGGCCCTCCCCCTGGGGGCCGCCAGTCGACATTGTTTGGCCGATGGCACCCGGAGGAGCCCCTCTCTATGGGAGCGTACCGGCCGGTGGGAGGCTATTGGTGGTAGTAGGCAGTCCTGTAGATAATTCCATCCATGTTTGGGTTCTTGCACGCTAAGCATTAATAGAGTTACACCAGGGATCAGCAACCTGTGGCTCTGGAGCCGCATGCGACTCTTTGGGCCCTCTGCTGTGGCTCCCTGTCAGGTGATTCCACCACTGGTTGCCTCCCCAATTGTCCTCCCCTGGCCTGAGAAGATAAGGGCAACGGCGGGGAATGGAAAAGCGGCCGGGGCAGAGACAGAGACAGAGAGAGAGAAAGGGTGGGGAGGGAGGGAGGGAGAGGAGAGAGATGTCAAAAGGGTTTTGTGGTTCCCGGTGTTTTTTAACAACCAGTTCTCTGCCCTAATCACCGGCTAGGTAGGCGTGGCTCGTGGGGGGTCCATGTGACTGGTGGAAGTGAGTGACGTCGAGTTGGCCACGCCTACCGAGGTTTTGTGACTCCCGGTGTTTTCTTTTCTTTGGGAAACGGGTCCAAATGGCTCTTTGAGTGTTTAAGGTTGGAGACCCCTGGATTAGACTGTTGACTTAGCATGTTGTATGAAACCAGACACTTTGTAGGTTCCTTGAGAAAACACAGTTAATTATGAGCACTTTGTAATGTGCAAATCAGGTTAGTGAAACTATCAACGCTAGAAAAGGACGTGGCTCGGTTCTGACTTCTCCACCCTTGGATATCCACCAACTGGAAAAGCAGTCGTACTAATAAGGGGTTCTACTTTAGCACACGGGGCCTAATTTTAAACCTGCAGCCAAGCTCCCTGAGTTACCGAGAATGCTCAAATCAGACCATCTACCTGTAGTAGATGTTGTAGACACAGGAAGCGAGAGGCATCTTCTTCGGCTGAGCCCAGGATAACGTGATGTTGCCCAAAAAGTCAGCTGTCCATTGCAGGTTCTGAACCTTATAGACGAGAGTATCATCTACGTAAAAAAAAGAAGAAAAAAAAAGAAAGAATTCCTGACTTTGATAAGGACCGGAAAGAAGGGATTGAGATTAATAATAATAATAACAACTATTTTAAAAATATTTTTAATATTCAAAGTTTAATTTGTTTTAAATTGATTGGGGTTTTTTAATTTGTCTGGGCCAAACTATTTAATTCAATTTTATTTCTGCTTTTTAAATTTTGTATGTATTTATTTTATTGTTGGCTGTTCACTGCCGTGAGTCCTTCAGGAGTAGGGCGGTATATAAATCAAATAAAAGTAAAAGTAAACTAAAGTAAAGTAATTGTCATTGTATGTGTATACACAGTATACCATACAACGAAATTCACTTAATACCCAAAGACCCGGCCCAACACACATAACAATCCCCAAACACCCACCCACCCACCCCAATTCTCCACCCCTAAACCACCCAAACATCCACACAACAGAACAAGTTAAAGAACAGTTGTGGCGCAGTGGTTAGAATGCAGTACTGCAGGCTAAGCCACTGCTCACTGTCAGGAGTTCGATTCGGACAGACTCAAGGTTGACTCAGCTTTCCATCCTTCTGAGGTTTGGTAAAATAAGGGTCCCGATTGTTGGGGGCAATAGGCTGACTCTGTAAACTGGTTAGAGAGGGCTGTAAAAGCATTGTAAAGCAGTAAAAGGTAAAGGTTCCCCTTGTACATATGTGCTAGTCGCTCCCGACTCTAGGGGGCAGTGCTCATCTCCGTTTCAAAGCCGAAGAGCCAGCGCTGTCCGAAGACGTCTCCGTGGTCATGTGGCCGGCATGACTCAATGCCAAAGGCGCACGGAACGCTGTTCCCTTCCCACCAAAGATGGTCCCTATTTTTCTACTTGCGTTTTTTTACGTGCTTTCGAACTGCTAGGTTGGCAGAAGGTGGGACATGCCACGGGAGCTCATCCCGTTATGCGGCGCTAGGGATTCGAACCGCTGAACTGCCGACCTTTCGATCGACAAGCTCAGCGTCTTAGCCACTGAGCCACCACGTCCCTTGTAAAGCGGTTTATAAGTCTAAATGCTATTGCCATAGCTATTATCACCAGTTCTATGTAGAAACAGTGTTCTGGACTAAAGGTTAACGTCCCTCCCTCCCTCTCCCTTCCTTCCCTTTCGCTTCTCTCCATCCATCCATCCATCCATCCAATTTCTTTACATACCACACACTCCTAGCCCACAGAAGATTCCACAGCAGTTAATAGAACCGATCACCCAATCCCAAACTTTTATATTATTCTTATAAATTGTGCCTTGCGATTTTTCCTGAAAATTGACTACGGAGAGACTACATTCTGGAGAGTTGGACCCACCACCCCAAATGGCTAGAAACTTACTATAGGTCAAGTGGGTTTTTCTGTCCCGGCTGCACAGATCAAAGGCTCTGGTTGAGCTCCTGACCTCACTTCCTCCCCTGCTCCCTCGCTGCAAATGCCCCCAAATAAAAACAGAATAGTTCAAATAGTTCCTAGTCTTTTTCCCAATCCACTAATTTCTCTTAAGATCTGTTAGGATATGGTTTGAGCCTAAATAGTTGTCCAGGCAATATATGTGTTCTGTGACTTTAATATGAAAATGTATTGTGTGACTTTAAGGCTTTACTGCTGAATCATTATAATGCTGAGTCATGCTGTAATTAGGTAATCACTGGTTGTGAGAGTATTTAAGCAAGGTATTGTAACATGTTCAGTTGCTGCTATGATATGCTGCCATTGTGTATGAAGCTGATGTGATATGCTACCAGAGTATGATATGCTGCCATAGTGAGGAGTTGCTATCTGCTACCATCGTGGTTTGTGAACCAGAGTGAGTTTGTTATTCTAACCAACTAATGTTTGTTTGGTGAGAAGATATCTGTAACTACTGGACTGATTTAACTGGCAAAGACTTGGAATTTGTTTAAAGACTATGAGACTGTTTTTCTACTATAAAGTAAGCTTTTGATAAACCAGTTTGCATATCTCTTATTCATTGCTCTCAGCAACGTTTCCTTGTCCATTTACTCTGCTGGTTGGTAACACAACACCAATATCCTTAACAAGATCAACTTCCTCGTCCTTGGAAAATGGCTTCCAAGCTGTTTGAGTGCCGCTCTTTTAAAATTCCAGCCAGGTGGACATTTTCCACATTGCGGTGGGTGAAGAGAATCTGGACAGACTCCTCCCAATCAATATTTAATTAAAGAACTAAAGACTGATGGATGCTCTGTGACCCTTTCCACTCGGGGAGGGACAGGGCTGCGTCGCAGCGTGGGAAGCGGTGTCAAACGGAAAGGGCGATTGATGGCTATTAATGGGGAAGTTATCTCAGCCATAATGAATTGAAGGCCAGAGGGGTTTTTTTGCTGATGAAACAAGCCAGGACTGAGAGAAGACGACGTTAGGAGCAAGAAACCCCTGGGGAAAAGCCATGTTGAGACAGGTCTTCTGAACTGTGCTCCACCCCACCAGCCTCATTGGATGGAATCAGAGGTGGTATTCAGCCGGTTCAAGCAAACCGGTAGCGGAAATCAATCGCGGGTAGGCCCACCCACCTGTTCCGGCTCTATGTCATCCTATTTAGGCATGCGCGGAAGGCACAAGCATGAGCAAAGTGCACGCATGGAAGGCATGCGCAAAAGGCGCACGGTGAACCGGTGGTAACAAAATGCGAAACCCACTGCTGGATGGACTTACAGGCTGTCCTCGATTTAGGATCACAACTGGGGCTGGAATTCCAGTCGCAAGTCATCAGAAAGGCTGGTCAGAGACTGTTGTGGCTCCATTACCGGAGCCTGTGTCATCGGCAGGAGAGGACTCTGAGAGTGAAGGAGAGGAGTTGGCAAGGCCTCCCTCTCCAGGACCCTCCTCTCTGGCAATGCCTTCGGTGTCCGCCGAAGGGCAAGAGATAGGGCCGGGGCCAAGCACGTCCACGCAGCCACAGGTGGACAGTAATGAGGGAGATGAGTCTTGGCTGGATCCTCGGCAGTGTCGCAGAGATAAGCACATGCAACAGAAGAAGAGGCGTGCCAGGGATTAGGCTGAGTCATTGAACCACACCCCACAGGGTATAAAAGGGGGTGAGGTGGCCATTCAGACTCTGTGACAGACAAAACTAACTACTATCGAGTCACATTGCATCTTTGGAAACATTATCTGCCTTGGATTTAATTACGGACTGGACAATTCTTGAACTGTGTGTATCTTGTTTATGAGTAAAGTTCTTGGCAAGCAGCTACTGGGTTGCTGCCAAGCCTCTTATCAGAAGAATTGGTTGTCTGCTAGTTTATTTAACCCCTGGCTGTCTGTTTGTGTGCGTGTATGAGACGGGAACAGAACAGAGACCATAATGATGATATTTGATTTGATTTGATTCCATCGGCTTAATTGTTTTTGGAGTTCTGTTTAGAGGTCATGACTTACCGGTACAGTTCTTTTCGTCGCTGCTATCCGGACAATCCAGAAAACCGTCACATCGCTCCATCTTCATGATGCAGGCCTCCCCATCTTCACATCTGAATCCACTAGGGCATAACAAGGTGCTGTGAGTCGCTGGAAGACAGAAGAACATACAACACTGCCATCTTACAACAAGTAGACGGGGCGGATCTGCTTAGTTGTCTCGCACTGAGTAATCTGTCGCCGTACTTTGAATAGTAGAAGCATTCCTGGATTTTGGTGCTGTTTCTTCTCCTGAAAGCCTAGTAGATCTTTACAGTCATCACGATTGTTGGGTTTGTCCAGTCATGATCAACCAATGATCATGGTTTTATATGAGCTACTTGAATCAAATTAATGGAGAAACAAGCTACTGGGGTTTACTCATCACAATTGGGTTTGTCCATTCATGATCAACCAAAGTTTTCTACCATCTAATTCAGGGGTGGGGAACTACCGTATTTTTCGGAGTATAAGACGCTCTGGACTTTAAGAGGCACCTACCTTTTTTGGTGAGGAAAAGAAGAAAAAGAAATCTGCCTCTGCCTCCCAGCAATTTTGCCTCGTTGCAGCAAACAGTCTGCTTTACTTTCATTTTCGTTTTCAGCATAGCTTGATTAGCACAAGAAAAAAAAAAATCTGCTCCCAGCAATTTACCTCCTTGCAGCAAGCAGCAGAGGCCCTCCCAAAACAGCTGAGAGCAAAACAGCTGAGAGTCGGGAGGCCGATCCAATCAACTTGTGCTAATTAGGCTGTGCTGAAGCTGAAACGAGCTGTTTCTTCTTGCTGCTTGCTGCAAGGAGGTAAATTGCTGGGAGGCAGAGGACAAAGGGTGGGGGCCAGTAGATGGGCGGGGCTACATTTGGTGTATAAGACACACCTAAATTTTCACTCCCTTTTGTGGGGGGAGGGGGGGAAGGTGCATCTTATACTGAAAAATATGGTATGGCCCTTTTATACTGGCTCAGGAACTCTGGGAGTTGAAGTCCACAAGTCATAAAAGGACCATCGTTCCCCACCTCTGATCTAATTGAATCATTAATGGAGAAATGAGCTACCATGGTTTACTCATACAATTGTTGGATTTGTTCATTCATGACCAACCAACATTATGGTTTTGAACGTCTAATTGATTCAGATTAATGGAGAAGTGAACTACCATGGTTAACCCATCACTGTTGGGTTTGTTCATTCACGATCAACCAACATTAATTTTTTGTAACATCTAATTGAATCAAATTAACGGACAAATGAGCTTAACATGGTTTATTCATACAACTGTTGGGTTCATTCATGACCGATTAACTTGGTTTTGAACAAAGTATTTGGTCCCAATTGATGGTGAAATGAGCTACCATGGTTTACACATCCCAACTGTAGGGTTTGTTCATTCATGACTGACCAACATTATGGATTTGTATGATCCGTTTAAACCAGGGTTGAAATCTACTTACCTTCCCTACCAGTTCGGAAGTGCGCACACCATGTGGACCCTCTGTGCATGCACAAACACTTCTATGCATGCACAGAAGGTAAAAAACAGGTTACTTCCTGGTTAAAACCAGGAAGTAACAACAACCAGGTGGGTGGGTGAAGCCTCGTGCTGCCATCGCTACCGGTTCTCTGAACCACCCACCACCGTTGCTATTGCGGTTTGACCGAACCGGTCTGAACCAATAGCATTTTGAACCCAATGAATGGAGAAATCATACACAACTTGTGAGGATCAAAGATATGCAGCCATTTTTGAGGGATGCAAAACCAGGGATACAGATTAGAAGCCATTCCAGAGGGTCCCCGGCATTGTCTGGCAAGAGAGAAGACAAGGGACGTCCTGGGACTGCAGGAATATTTCAGGAGTTTCCCCATAAAGCCAACAAAGACTTACGGCAGTTCAGTTCATCCGTGCTGTCCTGACAATCCTTCAAGCCATCGCAGCGTTTCCAATTTGGAACGCACTTCTTGGTTTGCTGGCACTCAAATTCAAACCGGCTGCACCGTCCATGAACGCTGGCAGACGTGGAACTGGCACCAACGGCTGGGTGGGCAGAAGGTGGAGGGAAAAGACATGCATTACCAGAAGCCATAGAGATGCTATTACCCTGTTTCATTAGGGCAGGTGTCAGCACGTCAACCTGCATTTACTCTAGTGCTGACATAAGAAGGAGAAGCGAAGGCGTCTGGAAAGGGACGGCTGACTTTTCACCTACTTATTTTCCCTGGAGATAATGTTTCCGAGGAGATGAGATGGGAGGGGGGAAATTCCTTTGAGCTGGAGTAGATTAGGGGTAGAATGACTTGGAAGATGGCCAATGACTGCAGGGGAGTGGGGAACGGAAAGGGAGGGTTTTGGGGCTGGAAGTCAGTGTTTGCTTCGTTTGGAGTCAGGTTAGGATGTCGTGCTCAATAAATAGGAGTTTTTTTCTTCAAAGGTTTTGTTTGAAATACATTTTATTCGAGACGACCTCGAAACTTGACAGCAGGTGTTTCTGAACCTGGGCCGTGTTAAGATGTGTGGACTTCAATTCCCAGAATTCTCCAGCCAGAAGTCCACACATCTTAAAACAGCCAAGGTTCAGGAACATTGCTCTGGGTACATCATCTTTGAGAGCTGTTAGGAAGGTTCTGAGGAATTCTGGGAGTTGAAGTCCACACATCTTAAAACAGCCAAGGTTCAGAAACATTGCTCTGGACACTTCATCTGTTGTGGCCCACCAGCGGCCAGCAGAGCTGGCAGCAGAGTTGGACAGTGAGAAGGTTGGGGAGGAACGTGGGCCAGTCCTGGAGTCTGGGGAAGGCTCGGACGAGGGCTCTGAGTCGGAGGCAGAGAGGGGGCCAAGGCCATCTGCTAGTTTTTTGCTGCCTCCAGAGTCTGACATCAGCGAGGCAGAAGAACAGCGTGAGCCTGTCCCCAGTGTACCCATGCGCAGAGCTGCCAGGAGACAGGAACAATTAGGAAAACAGGGTCGGCTTGGGAGGAAGGCTTGGAGATGATTGGCCCCTCCCATAAGACATAAAAGAGAAGCGAATGGGACGTGAGTTTTTTCAGGAAGCAATTAGTTCATCTGGTCGGTAAAAGCTCTGGGAAAGCTCTGTTTGACTCTGTGCTAAGTTTGGCCTTGACCTGCGTGTGGCAATTAGTTCTCTGGCAGCATTCCAAAGGAGATAAGGTGGGTGTTTATAAACATTCCCCTGATAGACTGTTTGAGAAGCCTTTCGGACTATGAATGACAATAATTCACAGCCGTTTGAATTGAAGAGGTTTGCCAGGACTAAGTTTGTGCTGTTTACTTTCTAAGGAAGCCCAGATCAGAACATCATCTTTGAGAGCTGTTAGGAAACTTCTGAGGAATTCTGGGAGTTGAAGTCCACAAGGTTCAGAAATACTGCATTAGAGAATAGCTTGGTTGGGCTATAATATATGTTCATATGGAAGGCCGGTTTCTTTGCCTCCCGTACCACCAGATGGCAGCCTGAATCTGCTGAGACAGGAGAAGACAGCTTCCAAACCATGAGCTGATCCTTCCTAGTCCTAAATCTGAACTATCAATAGCTGATGCACTCAGTCACATCTGGGCTGGCTACTTCAGCGGAAACGATGCCTTCCCCAGCCGATCGAAGCAGAGATGTCCATGTATCATTCCCTTAAGGAATTGGTTCTACAAAAGAACCTTGGCACGTCTGAAGATGTTCAACCACTTTACGTGGGACTTTTAGTCCGGATTGTCCTCTATGAATTAACAGTGGCCCCTAACAGTTTTTCCAAACTTGGTGTCCCTGAGATATACTGGACTTGGGTCTCCTCTTCCTCCTCCTCCCACAAATCCACCCTTTACTAGCACTGAAGATGTTCCCTAGTTGGATAATGAAACTTCTGCAAGAAAGCCAAGCTCAGAGACTAATAAGGACCCCACAGTTCTACTCTACCTCCTTCTCCTTCCTCCTCCTCCTCCTCCTCCCAGTATAATATGCAAATTGATCCATATGGACTTAGTGCACAACCAAGAGTTGTGGGTTGATTGCCAGCATAAGCCAAACCATTAATGCTTGTCCCTCAACCCCCTTGCTAAAAAATCCTGCCTTATTATTATGAGTGAACGTAGCATATCTCCAGTGGCTACAGGTTGCTAACTGATGGCACTGGAAAGCAAATTAACTATCTCCTGGGAGTTGGCTTTGCTATCATTCTGTTCTGACCTAGGCTTTCCCAGCAGCACGAAGCTGAGTCCTCGTCCCGATGAACCCCTTTTATTTCATTTACAGTGAATTCCTCTCCAGCAAAGTCTTTCCTCTCCCACAGTCTTTCAAGATAGTTCACAATTTCCGACTTTTATCAGGCTTGGAGAGTGGCCAGGCCGATATCTTTCAGATGTCCGCAATACTTGGCAAGAATACAGTAATGAACGAATTGTCTCCTGCAAACTCCACTCCCCTTTTGCTCCTCTTTTATTCCCTCTGGGAGGGGCCCTTCATCGTCCACCTGTGGCCTTACTCCCAAGTCGACCCTTGTTCTTTAGCTGTTCCGTTCGTCTGGCAACTCAGCGCATGCACACACTGGGAACAGGATCCAGCTGTTCCTCTGCCTCACTGATGTCCGACTCTGAAGGCAGCTGATAACTGTCAGACGGCCCTGGCCCCCTCTCTGCCTCCGACGCAGAGCCCTCATCTGAGCCTTCCTTCCCCAGACTCCAGGACTGGCCCATGTTCCTCCCCAACCTCCTCATTGTCCGAATCTGCTGCCAGCTCCACTGGACGCTGGTGGGCCACAACAGAGTCCTTCCTATTGTTGGAACATCTGGCAGTTCTTAGTGTCTTCTCCATCTGGCATTCATATAACATGTTGTGTTGTGTAACGCAAGGCACACGAACGATGCAATTGGTGTCATTTGCACAGCGGTGTGAGGTCATTTCTCCCCTTCTTGCCCAGCCCACCCAAATGTCTAGAAATCGGTGAAAGGGGCAAGCGTGAAGAGTAGGGCGCCTTACGTGCAGTGGGGCAGGCCTCCTCGTCGGATCCGTCGGCACAGTCTCGGTATCCATCGCAAACCCAGCTGTTCATGATGCACGTCCCACTATTGCACCGGAAGTGATTTGGGCCACACGTGGCAGGAACCGTCGTGGTGATGGGGATGACTGCAGAGCCTAGATACCAATCAGAACAACTTCAAGGTGGGCCGGTTAAGAAAAAGAGAACCAACTTTGAGAAATTGGAAAAAAGGACTGACTCTTACCACCGCATGACTTCTCATCCGACCAATCTCCGCAGTCGTTTTCTTGATCACATTTCCATCGGTTGGGGATGCAATGCCCGTTGTCACACTGGAATTGGTAATACCGAGAACAGCTGGGGACTTCGGTTGGGTTTTCTAGCCAGGAAAAAAAATATGCTAGTCAGTTTTCACCACCTTAACGTTGTGGCCTGTCGGTCACTAAACGAACTGTTATAAGTCAAGGACTACCAGTATATAGATTGTGTCACTTGGACCATCATCATTATCTTCTTTCAATGACCCCATAATCCCTTGTAGGGTGGAGTCTGGGCAACTGAATGGAGCTGAGTGATTACTGGCCGGATGCCCTTCTTGTCACCAATGCGGAGTTTTGTTCAGCAGATATAGTCTCATTTGTGCCCAGAGAGAGAAATATCTGCCTCTACCTAGGATCGAACTCTCAACCTCCTGATTGTGAGGTGAAAGCTCCACCGCACCACCCTTGCTTGGACAATGAAGTCATGATATTGGACATCATTCGTTCCCCACTCCTACAATATCTCCTTTCCTTCTAGTGGCACCAGAGGTGGTATTCAGCTGGTTCAAACCGGTTCGGGTGAACTGATAGTAGCGACCTGTGGGTGGGGCCAACCCCAGCCCGGCGCTATGCTATCCCATTTATCCAAGCCGCGCGTGCGAGAAAAGTACATGCACAGAAGGTCGTGCGTATGCGGGGTACAGGTGCATGTGAGCGAAGCGTGTGCTCACATTTTCGGTGCTGGCCGAACCGTTAGGTAAATTATATGAATCCTACTTCTGAGTGGCACATTCTCCACTCACCACAGTTTGCTTCATCCGAGTAATCTCCGCAATCATCGGTGCCGTCACATTTCCACACCAAGCTGACGCACACGCCGTTCTGACACTGGAAGCTGAACTGGTCACAAGTGCGATGGAACTCCGGATCCTGGGCTGCAAGCAAGCCAGCTCTTGTTAGGGAAGGGAAATGCCCACCATCCCGGAAATCCGAATTTTCCTAGCCGCTTTTACTTACAACACCCGGCGTAGGCGGGATCTTCATCCGAGCCATCGCGGCAGTGCAAGGTGCCGTCACATACCATGGAACGCAGCAGACATTGTTGCCGGTTCTTGCACATGAAATCCATGTAGCGTGTACAGAGGGATTCTCCAGAGTGGCAAAGCAGAGCGAGGTTGGCAGGGTAGGAGGAAGGACAGAAAGAAGGATAAGCATCGGAGAGAGAAAGCTGACAAGTAGCCCTCGACTCGCAATCACAAGCGAGACCCAAATTTCAGTTGCCCAATTTGCTAAGTGTCAACCTGGAAGCCATTTTGGGAGCATCTTCAGGGCTGCCATGTTTAGGCTTCCCAAGAGCATGAAGCAGACTCCTCATCCCGACAAAAAACCCTTTTTATTAAGTTCCTGTGAATTCCTCTCATTCACATCCAGCAAAGTCTTTCAAGGGAGAATTTACAGTTACAGACCTTATCTGGCTTGGAGAGCTGCCAGGTCGATATCTTCAAAACTTGGCAAGGAGTCTCGGAGAGTCACAAACCAATTAAACGAACTAATTGTCTCCTGCAAACTCCCCTCCCCTTTCGCTCCTCTTTTATTCCCTCTGGGAGGGGCCATTTATTTTATTTTTATTTATTAATTTAATTTGTATACCGCCCTTCTCCCAGAGGGGACTCAGGGCGGTGAACAGCCAAAATTAAAAAACATACAAATACAAAGGTTAAGATAATTAAAAAGAATTAAATCATTAGCTTCCCAATTTAAGACCCCCAAATCCATAAAATTTAAAATCCCAATTAAAAACCATTTAGGCTAGGCCGGCTTGGTGGAATAAAAACGTCTTCAGGGCTTTACGGAAGGTACGGAGGTCTGGGATCAAACGTATTCCAGGAGGCAGCTCGTTCCACAGGGCGGGTGCCCCCACAGAGAAGGCTCTCCCCCTGGGGGCTGCCAGCCGACACTGCCTGACCGACGGCACCCTGAGGAGGCCCTCTCTGTGAGAGCGTATTGGCCGGTGGGAGGTTATCGGTAGCAGCAGGCGGTCTCGCAAATATCCATTCACCATCCATCTGTGGCTTTACTCCTGAGTTGACCCTTGTTCCTTAGCTGTTCCCTTTTCCTAGCAGCTCTGAGCATGCGCACACTGGGTACAGGTGCCAGCTGTTCTTCTGCCCCACTGATGTCCAACTCCGAAGGCAGCTGACAACTGTCAGACGGCCCTGTCCCCCTCTCTGCCTCTGACGCAGAGCACTCATCAGAGCCTTCCCCAGACACCAGGATTGCCCTCCCCAACCTCCTCACTGTCTGAGTCGACCAACAGTTCCGCTGGTTGCTGGAGGGCCAAAACACCACAGTAGAGTTGGCCAGAGCTGTGAGAATGGGAGGGGGGAGTAGAGATAGCTGGGGACTTGTAGACAAAATAAAATTCTTTCTCCTGGGAACCAAGGATGTTCTCACCAGGTGCTGGGGAGGCTTGGACTGAAACCAACTGGAATTTGGATGGTGACCAGATTGGACCACGTGACGGATATGTGGACTGGGGGAAAAAACTTTGACCAGATGTGCCAATATGACATGCGTAATAAATTTGGGACTTTGAGGAGCACCTTGGCCTCAAGAGTTTTGATTGCATTGGGTCTGTTACTTGGGACTAAGTGCCCAAATTTTGATCATGTGACGGTGGGAATGCTGCAATCGTAGTAAATGTGATATGAGTTATTTTTGTCAGTGCTACTGTAATTTCAAAACAGTTCTGAAATTAATGGGTTGTAAGTTGTAGGGACGCGGTGTAAGGGACAGGGTGGCTCGGTGGCTAAGACACTGAGCTTGTCGATCAAAAGGTCGGCAGTTCAGCGGTTCGAATCCCTAGTGAGCTCCCGTTCCTTGTCCCAGCTTCTGCCAACCTAGCAGTTCGAAAGCACGTAAAAAAAAATGCAAATAGAAAAATAGGGACCACCTTTGGTGGGAAGGTAACAGTGTTCCGTGCGCCTTTGGCGTTGAGTCATGCCGGCCACATGACCACGGAGATGTCTTTCGACAGCATTGGCTCTCTGGCTTTGAAACAGAGATGAGCATCGCCCCCTAGAGTCGGGAACGGCTAGCACGCATGTGTGGGGGAACCTTTACCTTACCTAAGTTGTAGGACGATCTGTACGTGCAGAGCAAAATGATCGAGTGCAAAAGCTAATTAAAAGTTGTTCTCCAATGTCCGGAGAAGTTCTGTGACTTTGTTTCCTTTTTGGTTACTCAGCAACCCCACTTTCACCTTGGCTACAACTTTCACGCTCCAGTTATACTCACCACAGTGTTGTTCATCCGAGCCATCCGAGCAGTCCTGCGCCCCATTACACCGCTTGCTAGAAGGGATACATGTTCCTGTGGCGCACTGGAAACCGTTGCATTTCTTCTCTGCCAAGCCATCCCACAAGGAAACAAAGAAAGCAAACTTAAGTTTAAAATACACTAGGCTTCCGGCAAATTTAGGAGGAGGTCTTTGGTTTAACAAAGCGTCTGTCAGGTTTCGATGCTATCTCAAAATAAATGAACTTCCAAACTGCCGATCTTTAAGGAAATTTTCTCTTTATTCGAGCACAGCCATCTGATCCTGACTCTTCGCGGTCAGTACTGACCTTTGCCCCCCAATCCCTCCCTTTCCGATCCCCAATTCTCTGCTTCTCATTGGCTATCTTCCAAGTCACTTTCCTGATTCCTTTCTTCGTCAGGTCACAGGAATGTCTCCCCCCTCCCCATCTCTTCAAAGGGATTTAGCAGGCAAAAGTTCAGGCTTCTCCTCCCTTTTCTATGTCAGTTCTGAGACGCTGACAGCGTGAAGAACTGGGTAGAAGGTGATGAAGGGGTTGTGAAAATGAGTTCTCACGTGGTCAATGAAGACTCAGACCAAAAATATCTAAAAGTATCTTAAATCGTGGCAACTGCGCCCAAATTTGTTAATCTGAGGCCTTTTCGTTGCTCACCCAAGAAACTTCTTCAGTCAAAATAAAAATGAGATAGGCAGAGAGTCAGAGAGATTCGTTGGAATGTACCAATTTTGCTCCAGTTCCCATGATTTAACCTTTTAAAGATATTTTTGGCCTGGATGATTGAATCTTCGTTGACATATTGCCAAACATTTTGGGGAGAACCCCCTGAAGTTGGTATGTTAAGAGTTGGAACATTCCAACTACGTCCCAATCTGACTTTACGTCTACCTAATTTTTATTTTTATTATTTATTTTTTAAGTTTGATTTATATGGCACCCTTCTCCGGAGACTCAGGGCGGCTTACAGTGCGTTAAGCAATAGCCTTCATACTTTTGTATATTTATACAAAGTCAGCTTATTGCCCCTGCAAACTGGGTCCTCAATTTACCTACCTTAGAAAGGATGGAAGGCTGAGTCAACCTTGAGCCTGGGGAGATTCGAACTTACAGTAATTGCAGGCAGCTGGTGTTAATCACAATGCTATCAGTCTGCTGAGCCACCAGGCCCGGTTTTGACTAATGAAGTTGCTTGGATGAGCAACGAAAGGTCTCTGATTAACAAATTTTGGCCCAGTTGCTAAGAATTAACCTTTTAGATATTCTCACATGGTCAAAGAGCCTCGACTACCAGATCTGGCTACCACCAAAACAAGAAACAGATGGAAATTGCCTTTGTCTCTCTACTCATAGGGGTGGGCTGTTGGGGGTTCGCAGGGGTTCGGGAAAACCTCTAAGATTCTTTGCAATTTGGAGAACCCCCAAATCCCACTCCAGGCTGGCCCCTCCCACCCCACCCCTTCCCTCCCAGGAGTCCCCACATGGCCCGTTTTGGATGCAGGTAAAGTGCAGGAATTGCGCAGAGGCTCGGGAAGGGTGAAAAACGGGCCTACCGGAAGTTCAGGAAGGTCGGAAGCAGGCCCATTTCTGGCCTCCAGAGGGCCTCCGGAGCCTGGGGAGGGCGTTTTTGCCCTCCCAGAGGCTCAAGGAAAGCCTCCGGAGCCCAGGAAGGGCAAAAATGCCTCCTCCCCCCCCCCCCCCGTGGTGCAGGAGGCCAACAAGGCCACGCCCACCATGGCCACGCCCACCCAGCAACCGGGCAGAGAACCCCTTGCTAAAATTTTTGAAGCCCACCCCTGCCTACTCAGCTACGTATCCAAAAGAGAAATCTTTTTAGCCATTTACACAGAAGAGCAGTGAATATCAATTGTGTCAATTGTGCTCCCGTTTGAGACATGGGAATTCTTGTAACTACATCTTAGCCTTGCTATAATAAAGCATGTTATTAAAAGTTCTAGACTTTCTGATGAATTAATCGAGTTTACTAAGAGGTGTTCGACCCAGGTCCACGTTAAGAGAAAGTTAAAAGTCGGAGTGAAAGAGAGTTTGCCTGTATCTAGAAATTCCATTACCACAATTGATGGGGTCTTCATCCGTTCCATCTTGACAATCGGTGTCTCCGTCACAAGCCCATCTTTGGGGGATGCAGTGCCCGTTTTGGCAGCGGAAACTGGAGGCTTCACAAGTGTGATGAACAGCTGCAAGCAACACAACAAAGACTGTTGACTTTACTGCAGGGTTCTTGGTGCTCTCTGAGCTTGGTTGTTGTCTTACAGATGTTTCATTACCCAACTAGGTAACATCATCAGTGTCGACTTACCAGCACGGAGGGACCAAAGCAGGAAAGAAGGAAGGAAGGAAGGAAGGAAGGAAGGAAGGAAGGAAGGAAGGAAGGGGAGAGGAGAATGTGGAAATCAAGATGACAAACCAGAGGTGAAATGCTACCGGTTCGCACCAGTTCGAGAAAATCGGTAGTAATAAAAGCTACCAGTTTGGGTGAACCAGTAGTAAAAAAAAAAATGCTACCGGTTCGTTTGAACCAGTATTTCCGACGATTGGCTGTTCTGCGCGATTTATATTCACTAGAAAGCAGGAAATTTTGCTTTCCACCGAATCTAAATCGCGCGGCACTGCTATTCCGCCCCCTCACTGTTCTACTTACCTTCTTAAGCCTCCGCTTTCCACGTGAAGCGGGCGTTTGGCGTGCACTACGCATACATTTTATGCACACTGCACACGCAGTGTGTTTGGCGCACACTGTGCATGCATGCATTTGGCGCGTAGCGCACATGCGCCCGCGGTGAACAGGTGGCAAACCCTGGAGGATTTCACCCCTGTGACAAACCCTTTCTGGCTACACACAATCTCTAGTGACCCTGCCAAAGCCAGGGATAACTCGTCCAGTCCAAAGGCTGACTTAGAAAAGGAGTTAATTCAATCACCCAGGGTAATCTGTTGTGTGAATGCAACCAAGCTAAAGATAACTCGAGGCCACCAGCAATCTGGAAAAAGAACATTGAGCGGGCATTGCTGAGCTGTCTTAAGTGCTGAAATGACCGTCCTTCACACTGTTGGGTAACAAGAATACACACAAACACACACACACACTGCTGTATTGGATCAGGTCAAGCCGACCATCTCAGCCTGTCAGGCAGGATCAACCTTGGGGAAATTCACGCGAAAAGCTGGGAAGTGACAGGCTTGCCCTGCTGTGTGTGCCAAGTCTTATGAAGGTGGCTTTGATCTTCGCTAAAAGTGCATACAGTCCCTGGCCAAACCATTCTCCCTCCGTTTGCCCAAACCTTCTCCTCAAAACCAACAGTCCAAACATATTTGTGGCTGTAAATTCCACCACTAACTGATGCCTTTTGCAAAGAAAAGAGGGGCTTCCTCCCCGTTCCCCTGCCCAGCATCAATGGATGGGGTGATTTTTTATTTTTTTTAAAATTAATATTACGCACTTCTAATAAATGAAATATATTGCTGTGGTTTTTCACAACCCACTGTATTTTTCTGAACCCGTTTTATTTCCAAAGCATGATGTTAAAAGAGTCATTGTGCTTCTTTTTTCCCCTTTTTCATAGGAGTTATGCAGGGGTGGGCTCCTGGGGGTTCGGCAGGATTTGGGCGATTCTCTAGCCAAGGATCACCGGGGTTCAGTGAACCCCCAAATGCCACCCCTGGCTGGCCACGCCCACCCCACCCAGCCCCTCCCACCCCATCCCGCCCCTCCCAGGAGTCTCCATGTTCATCATTCCAGGTAAGTGCAGGGGCCGCACGGAGGGTCTGGGAGGGCAAAAAACGGGCCTACTGGAGATCCGAAAGTCTGGAAACGGGCCTGTTTCCGGCCTCCAGATCTCGGGGGAAGCTGTTTTCACCCTCCCAGAGGCTCGAGAAAAGCCTCCGGAGCCTGGGGAGGGCAAAATACGTCCCCTGACATGGTGCAGGTGGCCGACTAGGCCACACCCACCATGGCCACGCCCATCCAGCAACGGGGTAGCGAACCCGTTGTTAAATGATCTGAAGCCCACCCCTGGAGTTATGGAATGTAGTTCTACAAACCTTAAAGAAGGGATGCCCCATCTCGGCAACTTTAAACTGGGGGATTCTGGGATTCGAAGTCCACAAGTCTTAAAGTTGCCAAGGTTGGACACCATTGCCTTAAAGAACCTCAGATTTTGTTGGAAATACAAAACTGAGTAGTTCTGAGTACAATATAAATATCCCTGCTTTTTTTAAAAAAAAAGTTCTGGAACCTCTCTCTTAGTCTGATTTTATATATATATAAATTCGGGTTTTCTCCCACGTAAAATTGGAGGTTTCTTGGCAACGTTTTGACAAAGTCTCATTCGTCATCTTCAGGCTGGTGTTCTCGGCTTCGTGCTTCTAGGAGCAATTGCTCCTAGAAGCACGAAGCTCCTAGATGCACAAAGCCGAGAACACCAGCCTGAAGATGCAGAATGAGACTTCGTCGAAACGTTGCCAAGAAACCTCCAATTTTACGCAGGAGAAAACCCGAATAACCAAAGACCTACATACAAACACCCGCGAAAACCTCAGAAAACATATATTTGAGATCTGTTTTTATCAGGAAGGAAAATCGAGTTCACTATCCTATCTTACTTCTTTGCTCCTTGTGCCAGCATGAGAGATGGACATGTTTCTATAACAGTCTAAGCTATTAGGCACTTCTGGAGGTGATATTCTATTAAGTATTCACTGTGAAAAGTAATTATTTCCCAGGAAGCATCATACTTCAACCTTCAAGAGGTGAGAGAGGAACCCTTTTAAAAATAACTCCAGAATAATTTCAAGTCAGATCTTAAGAATATAAGTTTAAACCAAGCTGGCTTTTTTTCTTTTGGGAAGGGCTTCTTATCCAGGCACAAAGAGAAATCAGCACAAGGAGGTCCATGCTACGGGACTACAGATTGGTCTATTTTAGAAACTGTCAGAGCTGGCAGACAAATAAGGGTGGACCATAAAATGGGACATTAAAGGTAAAGGTAAAGGTTCCCCTTGCATATATGTGCTAGTCGTTCCTAACTCCAGGGGTGCTCATCTCCGTTTCAAAGCCAAAGAGCCAGCGCTGTCCGAAGACGTCTCCGTGATCATGTGGCCGGCATGACTAAATGCCAAAGGCGCACGGAACGCTGTTACCTTCCCACCAAAAGTAATCCCTATTATAACGGGTGTATCCTGTGTTATAAAGCGAATTCCAAGAAAGCTGTTTATATTTGGTAAGGCCACACTTGGAATATTGCATTCAGTTTTGGTCGCCACGATGTAAAAAAGATGTGGAGACTCTGGAAAGAGTGCAGAGAAGAGGAACCAAGATGATTAGGGGACTGGAGGCTAAAACATATGAAGAACGGTTGCAGGAACTGGGTATGTCTAATTTAATGAAGAGAAGGACTAGGGGAGACATGATAGCAGTCTTCCAATATCTCAGAGGCTGCCACAAAGAAGACGGAGTCAAGCTATTCTCCAAAGCACCTGAGGGCAGGACAAGAAGCAACGGGTGGAAACTAATCAAGGAGAGAAGCAACTTAGAACTAAGGAGAAATTTCCTGACAGTGAGAATAATTAATCAGTGGAACAGCTTCCCTCCAGAAAATGTGAATGCTCCAACACTGGAAGTTTTTAAGAAGATGTTGGATAACCATTTGTCTGAAGTGATGTAGGGTTTCCTGCCTGAGCAGGGGGTTGGACTAGAAGACCTCCAAAGTCCCTTCCAACTCTGTTATTCTATTCTATTCTATTCTATTCTATTCTATTCTATTCTATTCTATTCTATTTTAGTCTAGTCTAGTCTAGTCTAGTCTATTCTATTCTATTTCTATTTGCACCAGATGTTGCCTACTGAAGAACAACTCCTATTAACAGCTTAATCCCTTCAGAGAGAGGGAGGGAGGGAGGGAGGGAAAGAGAGGGGGGGAGGAAGGATGCTTACCTGTGCAGTTCGCTTCATCCGACCAATCCCGACAGTCATTGTCACCGTCGCATTTCCACGAGAGACGGATACACATCCCCGAATTGCAGCTGAACTCATCATTCTGACACTGGTGGGCTTCTGAAAATCGCAGGACAAAATGGCGCAGGTGGAAATTCAAAAGATTATATCTCACTATCCAATAGGCTGACCCTAACTGAGCCTCATATGATGCACCCTGGTTTGTATAATCATGATTCATTGAATTAAACCATAGGTTAACTCGTCGTGCATGCAACTGGAAACTAAACGTTATGGCGGAGTCTGAAGGAAGGGACCCAACCAATTTCTCTTCAATCCCTCCTCCTATTCCATCCCCGCCCAAAAGACTTTCTGGAACAATCTGCTTTCTGCAAAAAAAAAAAGACACGGTTCTGTTTAGGCAACACGTCACAACCGGGGTGGGCTTCAAAAATTTTAGGAAGCGGTTCTCTGCCTGGCTGCTGGGTGGGCGTGGCCATGGTGGGCGTGGCCTAGTCACCCTCCTGCCTCATGGCGGTGGGGACATTTTTGCCCTCTCCAGGCTCCAGAGGCTGTCGTCGAGCCTCTGGGAGGGCGAAAATGGCCTCCCAAGGCTCCGGAGGCCCTCTGGAAGACGGAAACGGGCCTTCCCGAACTTCCGGTAGGCCCGTTTTTCGCCCTCCCCGGGCCTCCGCGCGTGCCCTGCACTTACCTGCATCCAAAGCAGGCCGCGTGGGGACTCCTGAGCAGGGAGGGGTGGGTGGGGCCAGCCAGGAGTGGGATTTGGGGGTTCTCCAAACTGCACAGGATCTTATCTAGAGGTTCTCCTAAACCCCAGCAGCCCCTTCCCCCCCGTCACAACTCTTCACTGGAGTCAATTGGTGAAGAGAAATGCCAAATGAGGTGGCTTTCTCCGCAAAATAGGTTGATGCCCATCTTCCTTTCTTCGCTTTGCACAAGCCTTCCTCCTTGCCCAGATGTCTGGTGTCCGTTCAAGTAACCGTATCACTAAATCTAGTAGCAGATACAAAATCCACCATGGCAGGAGTCACATCCTGAGTTTACAAACGGGTCACTTGCCTATTTCCTATGGGGGCACCAGCTGCCAAACTATAATTCCCCAGCATGCTAGGTGCAGGGTCAGCCCTCTATGCAATGGTCCTTCGGTATCCAGGGCCACAGAGAGACATTTGAGACCTGTCAAAAGGCTCGGAGATCTTCTCTTGAGCTTACCACAGTGGCTCTCGTCGCTACTGTCTCCACAATCGTCTTCCAGATCACACTTATAGGACAGGGGGACGCAGGTCCCTGATTCGTGGCAACGGAATTGGGTGTCAGGATCACACACAGTTGTTGCTGTTATCACACAAGGGAAAAGAGACCTTCTAACATCATCAATCTCTCATTTTGAGACATCAACAGCACCATCAACACACGTCCCATCAGAACTCATTTCAGAACCACCAGATCCCTTAGACAGTTTTGGCAGGATGGTCCGATAATGGAGGAAAGGGTTGAAGGACCAAATGTGAAGCTTAAACTTTGCAGAAGCTTCATCTTTTAAAAACAGGAAAAACTCTCCCCAAATTTAGAATCATAAGGCTGGAACAGACCTTGGAGGTCTTCTAGTCCAAGCCTCTTTTGCCCAGAGCAGGAGTCCTTTTATCATCCTGGACACATAGTAGTCCAATATTTTCTTGAAAACTTCCAGCAATGAAGCACCCACAACTCTGAGAGGCAATCTGTTCCTTTGATTCATTGTTCTCTCCGTCGGGGAAATTCCTCCTTACTCCACCCTAATCAAAAGGATCCTTAACCTTTTCCTCACTGTCGATGTGTTGCGGGTCAAGATTTATCTAAGATTCTTTGAAGAGGGGCTGCTTTTGACTGATTGATTTATTTATTGAATTTCTATACCGCCCTTCTCCCGAAGGACTCAGGGCGGTGAACAGATTAAGATGTCATATACATATAATACTCTTTTTTTTTTAAATAAACAGTAAATAATAAATTGAGTCAACTTGGTGTATCTGCTAAGACCTTGGCATAGAATTTAGATGTTTATGCTAGCCCTGCTTGTTGAAACAGAAAGGTCTTCAGGGCACGTCGGAAAGTGCGAATTTCTGGGATTATTCGTATTCCAGGGGGTATTTTGTTCCAAAGAGTAGGTGCCCCCACAGAGAAGGCTCTCTCCCTTGGAACTACTAGACGACATTGTTTTAATGATGGTACTATGAGTAGGCCTACTCTGTGAGAGCGTATTGGTTGGTGGGAGGTTATCGGTTGCAGCAGGTGGTCTCGTAAGTACTCAGGTCCTAAGCCATGGAGCACTTTAAAGGTAAGAACCAACACCTTGAAGCGCATTCGGAAGGCCACCAGAAGACAGTGCAGCTCGCGTAGAAGAGGTGTTACATGTGAGCGCCATGTTGCTCCCATAATTACTCGTGCGGCCGCATTCTGGACCAGTTGGAGCTTCCGGGTGTACTTCAAGGGGAGCCCCATGTAGAGAGCATTGCAGTAGTCAAGTCGGGAAATGACGAGGGCTTGAGTGACTGTGCGTAATGAGTCCCGGTCTAGAAAGGGACGCAATTGGCGAATCAGGCGAACCTGCTAGAAAGCTGCTCTGGCTTTTGATCATTCACTGAAGCTAGGGGTCTGCAACCTTAAACACTCAAAGAGCCATTTGGACCCATTTCCCACAGAAAAAAAAAAAAACACCGGGAGCCACAAAACCCTTCCCGTGCCTGACTATTTCTTGAGCAGCCACAAAACTAGCATATGCAGTTGAATTAAACGTTCTGTTTTCTTCTGAAACTTTTCTTTTCTTGGATTTATCCATGGTTGGCCTACCAGGGGTTGAAAAGTTCAATAAATCGTGTGCCGGCGGGTGTCACACATTGACGGTTGTGACGCCTATTTTGAGTGACAGGGAGCCACAGCAGAGGGGTGAAAGAGCCACATGCGGCTCCAGAGCCACAGGTTGCTGACCCCTGATTTAAGCAAACTCTCCCTTGCACCCCCCTCCACCCCCAAGTATCTGCGTGACTTACGGCAGTTCTTTTCATCGCTCATGTCCCCACAATCGTTGTCATTGTCACATTTCCAGATGTTATTAATGCAATTCCCATTTGAACATCTGTACTGGTTGGAGAGACAGGTGTTTTCTGGATGTCGGTGGCAAGGGAGAGAGGCAGAGGAGGATAATCAATAACCATTAAAAAGAAAAAAAGGCAACCTGAAATTAATGAACCCAACATCTAGTCAACTATCCCAGTTCCCAGCGAGAAAGCTTCCAGAAAAAACAGCCTTTGTGGTAAAGAAGCTTCATTTCGTTGTTGTTAGTTGCGAAGTCGTGTCTGACCCATCGCGACCCCATGGACGACGTTCCTCCAGGCCTTCCTGTTCCTCTACCATCCCCCGGAGACCATTTAAGCTCACGCCGACTACTTCGGTGACTCCATCCAGCCACCTCGTTCTCTGCCGTCCCCTTCTCCTTTTGCCCGTTTTTCGCAAAAACAGGACACGCAGAGAGTTTGGGAGGCCTGCAGAGTGCTCCTGGGGGCTGGGGAGGGCAAAAACGCCTCCGTTTTTGGCCACCCAAACCCCCCACGCGTCATGTTTTTGCCCTCCCTGGCCACTAGGAGCGCTCTGCAGGCCTCCCAAACCCTCTTCAGGCCCCGTTTTTGCAAAAAAACAGGCCTGTTTTTGGCGAAAATGGGATGTGCGGGGCAGGGTTTCGGGAGGCCCAAAATGGCTGTATTCGGTGTATAAGACACACCTACATTTCCACCCTCTTTTGGGGGGGGGGAGTGCATAATTATACTCCGAAAAGTACGGTAAATAATGTTAGGGAATGGCTATTGCCTAACTGGTTGGGTTGGCAATATATATAAACCATCAATGCATGTTTGCAGTCAAAATGTAATGTATAGCTTTAAGACTGTAATGCTGTATTGCATCATACTGTATTCTGATTGGCTAGCTCTGTAGCCAACGTACTTAAGAGGAAGCTTGAATCATGGCTTGTTTTTTTCTTATTACATTATTATTGCTACCTCTGCTCCTCTCTGCCTGTTCTCTCTGCATGATCACTGCTTGATCATTGCTACTTGTTGTTTTCTACTGTTTTACTGATTGTTTTACTGCTGTACTTGTTCCTGTTTGCAACTCCAAAAAGAACTGTTTTATTGCATATGACTACAACAACTGGTAAGAAGACTTTGTTCTTCGAATATCTCTGGATTGATAATTTAATTATCTTTATCTGTGTATGACCTGGATTGTTTATTGGACTTTGCTTTACTTTTTCCTAAAAGTAAAAGAATATCACAACTCAGTGTGTCTGTGTATTGACAGTGCTTATTCACAATCACTCTCAGCCGTTTCTCATGTGCACAACCTTGCTATAAAATAATATCCAAAGTGAGATGCCATCTGACACTCTAGCACCCGGTATATCCTTTACCTTCTTTTATGCAGGTGCCATTCTTCAAGTGATAGTTGGGTGGACAATCGCATCGTATCTCGCCTGATGGGAGCAGATGGCTGGAGACTCCATCAGGGCATCGACAGGTATAACTATTGTTAGCCCTGGGCAGACACAGCAGGCTGCATGGCTTGTCTACACATGCATTCTTCCCTATCCAGAGGAGAGAAGAAGGAAGGACCAGAAATGTACATCGTGAAACTTCAGGAAGAAGATGTTGCCTTCTAGATGTTGCCTTTCTTGTTTGTTTGTTTGTTTGTCTTGGAAAACGCTTCGCTTCTCATGCAAGAAGCTTCTCGGGTGATAAGTGAAAGGTTTTCAATGAAAAAAAAAAAAGTCCAGTTGCCTTTTGGAAAAGCACCTGTCGAGCCCAAATTTGGCATATGTGTGTCAAAGTATGAATATTCATAGACTGGAATAGGTCAACCAATGAATAGGCATAGCAACTAAGTCAGCCAATGGGGACTCAACGGGGATTGTTTAGAAACAGAAACTTAAGTAAGAAGTCTGGGTGTTCCTTAGCCCTGCAGCTTTAAGCTCTGAGTCCGATTCTGTGCTGAGATCTGAAACTAGTCTCCTCTGCTTGTGTTTTGCTTGTAACTGCTACCAGGTTGGAAGAAATCTGCTGTTGGTATTGTAAATGTATTTCATGTGTTATTATGTATATAAAGAAGTTAATGAATCCTGCTGCATCAGTCTGCCTGTGTGTGCTTTCTGGATTTGATTTTTGCAACAAACTCTGACAATGTGTAGCCATTTTATCTAGCTCTCTATTATACTCCTTTATTCGTTTTCTTTCTCTTTACTATGTAAGGGGAGGGGGGTTTCCGGGCTTGCCACATTCTTAAGATGGGGAGGGGGGAAGGAGTGAATAGATAGTGAGGATTGTTTTGGCTAGGTGACTTTCTTTCCCGTGGGAACAGAGGCTGCTCCTGGCGAGAATGGAAGGTGGTGTTTGAAGACCCCGGGAAATGTGGATTGAGTGGAGAACGTGACTTTTGAGGGATGTTTCTAACTTACAATATTATGTGGTGTGTAATTGCGGTTTGTGTCAGATCCAGAATTACAACAAACATTGCCAATTTGATGCTTAACCTAAATAAAACAAATTTGTTTTGGAAGATGGACTTTGCCTATTTCTTTTTGAATGGGTTTCATCCAGTGGTGGAATTCAAATTTATTTACTACTGGTTCTGTGGGCGTGGCAGGGGAAGGATACTGCAAAATCTCCATCCCCTTCCAACTCCTGGGGGAACGGAAACTGCAAAATCCCCATTCCCTCCCTACTCCTGTGGGACGATACTCGAAATCTCCATTCCTTCCCCACTCCTGGGGCAAGGATACTGCAAAAAGAGCCTTGGTAGTACAGTGGTCTAAAGCACCCTGTTATTAAGACCAGCTGCCTGCAATTACTGCAGGTTCAAATCTCGCCAGGCTTAAGGTTGACTCAGCTTTCCATCCTTTCTAAGGTAGGTAAATTGAGGACCCAGTTTGTGGGGGCAATAAGCTGACTTTGTATAAATATACAAAAGGATGAAGGCTACTGCTTGGTGCATTGTAAGCCGCCCTGAGTCTCCGGAGAAGGGCGGCATATAAATCAAATTTAAAAAAAAATCCCCATTCCCTCCCCACTCCTGGGGCAAGGATACTGCAAAATCCCTATTCCCATCCCACTCCAGGGGAAGGATACTGCAAAGTCCCCATTCCCTCCCCACTCCTGGGGGAAGGATACTGCAAAATCCCCATTCCCTCCCCACTCCTGGGGCAAGGATATTGCAAAATCCTCATTCCCATCTCACTCTGCGGCCAGCCAGAGGTGGTATTTGTCGGTTCTCCGAACTACTCAAAATTTCCGCTACCGGTTCTCCAGAACCTGTCAGAACCTGGTGAATAGCACCCCTGGTTTGATCACTTGGAAACCTGACAGCACCTTTGGGACAAACATGGCCTGCATGATTGAGACTCTCCATGGAAACTTGCCTTCCAGAGTTGCCACTGAATCGTTAGTTTTAATTAGACTCAACATGGGAAGATCATCTCAAGGGAGATGCATCAGAGAAGTAAAGGCAATGTTTTCTGGTGGACCGATAAATACCTGCAGTCTTTCCGTGGTAGAAGATTTTCATGTCCATCACGCTATTGAGATGGTCAACCAAGGTCTCCATTCTGGCTCCGTTGTGCTTGGAGGCTCTGAAAATGCTCAGCTGCGACCAGTCATTCCAATAAATATCATTCTGAGGAAAAGCAAAGGAAACCTTTTCATTTTTAAATATTCATTGGAGGACCAGAGATGGAGGCAGATGGAAGGCATAACCATATAAGCAAGTACCAAACCAAGCTGGTTGTGCAAATACTTAGCAATCATATTTAAGCCTCTGTTAAATTCATCATACGCACAGAAGGGTTGACTTCATGTGCAATGCTTAGCCAATGGCCACACCTTATAAAGCACAACATGAATAATTATGTTGTAGGGCACGCAACCCTTCTTGTTCTTGCTTTGATCTGTACGAGCAAGTAAATAAATAAATAAAGTTTATTGTCATTGTACGTGTATACACAGTATACCCATACAACGAAATTCACTTAACACCCAAAGACCAGGTCCAACACACATAACAATCCCCAAACACACTCCCGCCCACCACAAATTCCCCACCCCTAAACCACCCAAACATTCACACAGCAGACCAAGTAATGTTGTCCAACAGCTCACTGATGGTGGCCCTTGAGTTCATGGTTGAGTGCAATTATAGATCTGGGATATAAACTATTCAGAAGACGTGTGGTCCGAGTTTTAATTGTTCTGTAGCTTCTGCCAGAAGACAACAGTCCAAAAAGATTGTAAGCAGGATGGGAAGAGTCTCTGAGAATATTATGCAACTTCCTCAAACAGCGAGATTCAAAGATGTCGTCCAGGGCTGGTAGCTGGAGCCCGATGACATTCTGGGCAGTTTTAATGATTCTCTGTAGAGCTTTTTTTGTCTGCTACAGAGCTGCTCCCATACCATGCAAGAATGCCATATGTCAGGACACTCTCAATGTTGCTGCGATAGTAGGACAGAAGTAGATGCTGAGATAGATTTATCTTCCTGAGGATTCTCCAGAAGTACAGCCTCTTCTGTGCCTTCTTCACAAGCATGTTAGCATTCATAGTCCATGAGAGGTCCTCCGAGATATAAATGCCCAGAAATTTAAAACTACTAAGGATGGCTAGCTATGCTCTGCATCACATTCACAGTGGTTCTGAGAATTAAAACAAGCTGCCTGGAGATTATGACTTTTGAAGTCTAATATGTCTGGTCAAATTTGTCGTGAGTCGGGAAGCTAAGCAGGGTAGAGTTGGTTAGGATGTGGATGAAAAAACTATTAGAAATCCCAGGACTATAGGTTAGATTGGGAAATTTTAAAAAATCCTAGAAAGAGGTCCTTGATTTTCATCCTACTGGATCTGTGCATAAAATCCCTGAGTTAAACACTTTTTAACACCTAGTGGGTGCTAGATTGCTTGTGTCTATTCTATTATAGGCGTTCTAGATCATGTCTACTCTATTATGGAGGGTTGCAGATTGATAATTCCTGCTTTATCATAGAGGGTTCTAGATTGATAATGCCTGCTCTATCATAGAGGGTTCTAGATTGATAATGCCCGCTCTATCATAGAGGGTTCTAGATGGAAGATTCCTGCTCTATCAGGGAGGGTTCCAGATGAATGATGCTCACGCCATCATAGAGGGTTCTAGATTGACAATATCTGCTCTATCGTAGAGGATTCTAGATGGATGGTGCCCACTTTACCATAGAGGAGTCTGGATTGATAATGTCTACTCTATCATAGATGTTCCAGAAGTACCTTAAACACAGCAATGGCATAGGGATGAGGAAGACTATCCAAGATCACTGATCTCTGCATGCCGTTGAAGTCGACCCGCTCGATCCTGTCCATGTAGGCCTCCGTCCAGTAGATCCAATGATCATCTGCCGAAATTCCGTTGGGCCACTTTACTCCCTCGGAGACGATGCAAGTAGCCGAGGAGCCATCCATTTCGCTTCGATAAATACCAGGCCGGGAATCCCCCCAGTCTGTCCAGAACATCAGTCTAGGAATAGAAATCATAACCAACAAGAGGTAGAGAGAGAAAAAATGAAGCCTAAGTCAGGTTGGAACTAGGATGGAATGTAATTCTCCTGATTAATTTAGGGAATGTTTCAACCCAGATGTCAGCTTTGGAAGCCATATTAGGCCGGAAGCTTCCATGCTGCCACCTTCTCATGTGTGGGAAAGTAGGAGGGGGGATTTAGTAAAGGGGTTGTCTTTAGACATAATAGCATTCTTCCTGTCGGTCAAGGTCAGGGCGATCCAGCATCTGGAGAAGGAGTGGTCGGAGTGAGGTCTCAAGACGGGACGGATGGTGATTGGGGCATGTGATCGACTGAGGAGTGAGGGGATGGTTTGGGGGGTTTTGATTTACTGAGGGAAAACCCGGATTTCTCAGATTCAGGTTTTCCCAGATGTGCCAGTTTACCTATTCTAGTAAATAGAACTTTGAAAAATGCTTGCTTCAGAGTCTTTACTTGGAGTTGGGGGTTTTCTGGAACACTGACATTAACCCGAATCTCTCCTTAAAGCATAACGGCACCCCGAAAGGGGGCTGCTAAGGGTGCTGAGCCCCAGCATCTACCTAAACCTCGGGTGGTGCGAAGACTCAGTGAAAATGGAGGAGAAAGAAGAGATTGCAGAGGGGGCCGTGAGGATTTACCGACACTCAGTTGGGGTTTTTCTGGAACGCTGGCACCAGAGACATCTCAAGATGTGAGATTCAGCTTTCTGGAGGGCTCCTTTGAGGTCCACGTTGCAAGTCCTCTGACTCCAAAGAGAACACAAACAAGATCAAGGGATAGGAGACTTCCTACTTACCCTTCTTTGGGCACCAAAGTTAGGGCTCGCGGTCGCTCCAGCACCGAGGAGTTTAAAATGGTAAGACGCAAGTCCCCGTCTGGGTTGGCAACCTGTGTGGAGACCACAAATTGGAGAACGATGATTCCACCAGACTATTATTGTTACTGATCTAGCAAGAGGCTGGTTTAGTTCTAGCTGGAATTATCAGGCATAAGAATTCATGTATTTTTTCTTTTCTTTTATGTACACTGAGAGCGTATGCACCAAGACAAATTCCTTGTGTGTCCAATCACACTTGGCCAATAAAGAATTCTATTCTATTCTATTCTATTCTATTCTATTCTATTCTATTCTATTCTATTCTATTCTATTCTATTCTAATTCTATTCTACTCTACTCTACTCTACTCTATTCTATTCTATGAGAGCGTATGCACCAAGACATATTCCTTGTGTGTCCAATCACACTTGGCCAATAAAGAATTCTGCTCTGTTCTGTTCTGTTCTGTTCTGTTCTGTTCTGTTCTGTTCTATTCTATTCTATTCTATTCTATTCTATTCTACTCTACTCTACTCTACTCTACTCTATTCTATGAGAGCGTATGCACCAAGACATATTCCTTGTGTGTCCAATCACACTTGGCCAATAAAGAATTCTGCTCTATTCTATTCTATTCTATTCTATTCTATTCTATTCTATTCTATTCTATTTTTTCTCAATAAAGATTCTATCCTATCCTATCATCCTATCCTATCCTATCCTATCCTATCCTATCAATGTTCTTTTCTCAATAAAGATTCTATTCTATTCTATTCTATTCTATTCTACTCTATTCTATTCTTCATTCCAATATCTATTCTATTCTATTCTATTTATTTTTTCTCAATAAAGATTCTATCCTATCCTATCATCCTATCCTATCCTATCCTATCCTATCCTATCCTATCCTATCCTATCCTATCCTATCCTATCAATGTTCTTTTCTCAATAAAGATTCTATTCTATTCTATTCTATTCTATTCTATTCTATTCTATTCTATTCTATTCTATTCTATTCTATTCTATTCTAAAGTTAGGTCTTATGTTTGGTGTGTGCTATTCAAGAGATTGACCAGCTCCAATAAATTCCTGACAAAATCCAACCAGAACAAAACAGGTTCTGGAATGCCTCCTAGAGGTAGATAGTGATAGCCATGTAATACGCGGTAGAGTTATGCAACATCCATTCTGGGGAAAGGTCTTGAGGTCTCTAGCTTGAGGGCCAGACAAATCAACATCTGTAGACCTTTAGTCTGAGAGTGGAAACAAAAAAGGAAGGTGTATCATTCACAACACCTGTGTTTGCGCTACCTGTCTGCCATCCTGGGCAGCGTCAGTATCATTGGAATCCAGTACCAAGCCACTGCATTTTCCAAACCATGGTTTAGAGCAGGGGTGGGCAACTATGGTCCTTTTATGACTTGTGGACTTCAACTCCCGGAATTCCCGAGCCAGCCATGTTAGCTCAGGAATTCTGGGAATTGAAGTCCACAAGCCATAAAAGGGCCATACTTGCCCACCTCTGGTTTAGAGTCTAAGCTTACTGAATGAATGCAGCCTAGTCTGATGACTAGGGGAGACATGATAGCACTGTTCCAATATCTCAGGGGCTGCCCCAAAGAAGAGGGAGTCAAGCTATTCTCCAAAGCTCCTGAGGGCAGGACAAGAAGCAACGGATGGAAACTCATCAAGGAGAGAAGCAACTTAGAACTAAGGAGAAATTTCCTGACAGTGAGAACAATTATTCAGTGGAACTGCTTGCCTCCAGAATTTGTGGGTGCTCCAACACTGGAGGTTTTTAAGAAAAGTTTGGACAGTTGTTTGTCTGAAATGGTATAGGGCAGAGGTGTCAAACTCAAGGCCCGAGGGCCAGATCCAGCCCCACAGGGTACTTAGAACTGGCCTGGGGGCCGCCTGGAAACAGTTAAGGACCGGCCCACGGTACCTCTGCCAGCAAAAACAGCCATGCACAGCCCTCCCGAGCTCCGTTTTCGCTGGCAGAGGGTTGCAGGAGGCCGTTGCAGCTGAAAACGGAACTCAGAGCCCATTTTCACTGGCAGAGGGTTTGCAGGAGGCCGTTGCAGCTGAAAACGGAACTCAGGAGCCCATTTTTACTGGCAGAGCATGCAGCCTGCCACAGGCGCTCCGACAGGATTGAGGTCGAGCTGGTCACGCCCACACAGAGACCCCGAGGTCAAATACAAGCTTGATGCGGCCCTCAAGTTTGACACCCCTTGGTATAGGGGTTTCCTGCCTGAGCAGAAGGTTGGACTAGAAGACCTCCAAGGTCCTTTCAAACTCTGTTATTCTGTTATGATGAATAATTCAGGAATCTAGGTTTATTTAAAGCAAGCCACAACTTGGTCCAGACAAGTTGGATCCAGTTCTTGTCTCTTTCTTTGGTTTCTTTTAGAGACCAAGGAAAAGTCATTATGGATTTGTATTGGGTTAATGGCTAAGCACCAGCAGGCAGGCAGTGAATTCAGATTTACTTTCATTCCTACTCCACACCTTTGCCAAGGACACAGCCAATTCATTAGGAGTAAGAGCTCCCTCCCCCATGGCACAAATCCTTTATTTATTTATTTAATTGATATGCCATCCATCCCACTGTTGAAGCAATACATTCTGTTGCTATAAGGAAATACACACAGCAAGAGTCCCCCTCAAAAAGATCATCCATGCTCCCCATCTGGGATAGACTTCTGCTTCCTTCTTGAAATGTTGGCTTCTTTCCTACAAGCAGAAGGAGGCGTACCTCGATTTTGGGGATGCCGGCGTTCACCCAGTAAAGCAGTTGACTGATGGACTCAAAGACCAATGCTTCAACCGTCTCCAGGCTGGTGCCGATGATCACTTCCTGCCCAGAACTTCCGTTGAGACAGAGACGCTGAAAATAATGGATCGGAGCCGTTAGGGAAGTCAACTGCTAACTTTGATGCCAACCAAACTCAAGAGGTGATCCCTGAAGCTAAGGAGAGCAGCACGAGAAGAAGTGCTGCTCTGGCCACAACACTAACCTGGATAATTTCAAGAGTTACATCTGCCCAGTAGAGACAGTTGTGGGCGTAATCGAAGTCGAGGGCCACCGCCCCACGCAGCCCCGTCAAAGGCAAATCTTCAGTCAACCCGGACGACAGATCGTACCGATGGATGGAATACCTTGTTGAATACAAGATGAACTCATTTTCCTCTGCAAAAATAAATAAATAAAAATCAGCCAAGGAATGAAGTAGGGGTTTTACATTTGGGAAGGAGCATTTTCTGAGCTCAAACATTGCAAAGGGGAGTTTGTAAACACTCTGGCTCTACAGCATCCTCTCTAGCTGATGTCAAGACTGAAACGTCTTAATTTTCCCTCCAAAGATGGCCTCAGATGTAAGCATAATCCAACAAACTTTTTTTTAAAAAAATGTATGCCGCATTGCAAAGTCCCTGTTTTTCACCTCCAACTATGTATTTTTATTTCGACAAAATGGTTATACAATCCAGTGGTGAAATCCAATTTTTTTTTACTACCGGTTCTACGGGCATGACTTGGTGGCCGTGGCTTGGTGGGTGTGGCAGGGAAGGGAGACTGCAAAATCTGCATTCCCACCCAACTCCTGGGGGAAGGATATTGCAAAATCTCCATTCCCACCCCACTCTGGGGCCAGCCAGAGGTGGTATTTGCCTGTTCTCCGAACTGCTCAAAATTTCCGCTATCGGTTCTCCAGAACCTGTCAGAATCTGCTGGATTTCACCCCTGATCCAATCTCTTCTTAAAAACTTCCAGTGTTGGAGCATTTAGAGCTTCTGGAGGCAAGTTATTCCACTGATTAATTGTTCTCACTGTCAGGAAATTTCTCCTTAGTTCTAGGTTGCTTCTCTCCTTGGTTAGTTTCCACCCGTTTGCTTCTTGTCCTGCCCTCAGGTGCTTTGGAGAATAGCTGGACTCCCTCTTCTTTAGGGCAGCCCCTTTGGAACACTGCTATCATGTCTCCCCTAGTCCTTCTTTTCATCAAACTAGACATACCCAGTTCCTGCAACCGTTCTTCTTATGTTTTAGCCTCCAGTCTCCTAATCATCTTTGTGGCTCTTCTCTGCACTCTTTCTAGAGTCTCAACTTCTTTTTTTCATCGTGGCAAATTTAAAGAAAAGGTGGAAGCCCTCTCCTTCCCAGTGTTGGCCAATTTTAAGTCCCTTTTATTTCTTTTATTGTTGCTTGAACAACACTGCAGTAGACGTTTCCCAATCGTTTCATCAAAGCTACTGATCAACCGTCTTACCAGCAGCAAAACCTGGTCTGTTTGGGCTACTCTCAAAAGAATGAAGTGTGTGTTTGTTAGTTAGCGGGAGTCAAGCTCAACACAAGGCAGGTTTTATTTTCCTGATCTACAACTTTGACCGGTACTGTTTTTTCCAAGCAACCTCCTTTTCCCCCTCCTTGGCTTACCTGCTAATGGACACGGTACGGTTTCCCCTTCTAACCGGGTTTCTACGTCACCTCCGGAACACGTGTCGCCAGATATCTTGCGGTAACTAACATCAATAAAACGAGAGTGTTTTGTCAAGAGGCACGCAGAGTTGTAACCCGAGTACCCCTATCAAGTTAACAGCACTGGGAATATGCCACTTTATTATTTATTTATTTTTTTAAAAAAATATTTTTTTATGGAACAGTTTTGTCTCTAAAAACAACATAAAAAACAACCACGGATACATAAAAACAACACAAAACATCGCAAACAGTACATACCCTCTAAGGCAGGGGTCCTCAACCTTTCGGACCTCAGGGACCACTAAATTCATAATTTTAAATCCCATGGACAACCAATATGATCTGCTTAATGACCGGCTGGGTGGGCGTGGGTAGGTGGTCATGTGACTGGGTGGGCGTGGCCAACTCGATGTCACTCACGTCGAGGGGCGCCTCACCAGCCTCAGCCCCTCTCCTCTCAGCCCCTCCTCGCCTCCCCGTCTGCGTGCCTTAGGGCCCCAACAGGAAGCAGTTGTTGGAGCTAAGCAGCCACACGAGAAAGAGTTGGCAAAACAGCTCAGTTCAAATTGGATCTGGCCAAGAAGGAGGCTCAGCAGAAGCACCTCACTGAGGACTAGGAGCATAGGCTTTCCAAGCAGAGGGAAGACCTGCGGGACTGCAAGGCCAGGTACTGACGCCTGGAGGCTCAGCAGGTAGAGATGGTCAGCCAGTTCCAGGCCATGATGCAGTCCCACTGGAATGAGGTCCTCCGGCTCTTTGCCACCATTGGCGCTTCCCTCCAGCCTTCGCCCAAAGCCCCACACCAGGAGGCTGAGGCAGACCCCAAGTCGGAATTTCTGCCCCCCTCCAACCCACATAAAAAGACTCTGAAGGGGGAGGCTCTCTACAGTAACACAAACATTCATTGCACATATCTGTCCCAGGGGCTGTAGTTTGAGGACCCCTGATTTAGTGCAATATAAGAAATGCAAATAATTTTTCTGCAGACCACCAAAATTTTCTCACGGATCACCAGTTGGTGACCGCTGCTCTAAAGTCATTTTACAGCTTTCTGTATCGGCATATGTACTTTGCTTTTGTAATTCTCTATTCTATCATATCCATTTACTTCTCAATAGTAGTATAATAGCGTTACATCAACGTATATATTAGCCCGCATAGTAGTATTCATTGTTCTTATCTACCGATTTATATTCATTTATATTTACATCTCTTTGTTCAATGTTATTCAATTACTCCAATTTTTGAGTTTCATCAGCGCTAAGTTAAACATTTTCTGTTTTGGTTTCTATTTTCGAGCCAACTGCACATTTTATTCCATACTTCGTAATAGCCCGAATCATCCCTCTCTTTTAACTCCATAGTCATTTTGTCCATTTCTGCACATGGAAATATGCCATTTTAACCTATGCAGATGGCAAAATTGTTTTCTGCAAGTGTTTGGACTTTAGAGGGCGATGCATTGAAACACCAGGGCCCTCCAAAAATAATTCGCAGGTAATATATGAATTGATTGCATTAACACCTTGGGTATAGGTGGAGAGTGACGAAATGTGCATTGTGACAGAGTGACACAAACCCCTTCACACTGTCATGTAAGTGAGAAAAGTCTCATCTCATGGCATCCATCTCACCATTTTTGTCCCATCGTGGTTATAAATAACTAGCTGGACGCCCGTGCTTCGCTACAAAACGATGTGATCCGGTGTGATAAATCGACACTTAAAGCCTGAAACTTAATGTAGCATCCGTAGCATCAGAGCGTGTTAATATAAAGCAACTGGCAGTTGGAACAGAGGGGGAGGGGGAGTAAATGTCCCAGCCCGCAGGCCGGATGAGTCACGCGCTGGCCACGCCCTCTCCCGGTTTAGCGAAGGGGTAGCATCAGAGCGTGTGAATATAAGGCAACTGGCAGTTGGGACAGAGTTCCTTTCAGGTGGGGAGGTGGAGTAGAATGTCTAACTCCTTAGCATCAGAGCGTGTGAATATAAGGCAACTGGCAGTTGGGACAGTTCCTTTCAGGTGGGGAGGGGGAGTAGAACGTCTAATTCCTTAGCATCAGAGAGTGTGAATATAATACTGTATATGAAATGCTAATGACCTGATGGTCATTTCAAAAAATCCTTTCTTAGTGAGCACCTAGAAGCCAAGAGGAACATACGTGGCAAATTTCAAGTTTGTAGGCTTTACGGTTCTGGAGATTTCATGATTAATGAGTGAGTGGTTTTTGCTTTTATATATATAGATTCTATTTCCGCCTGTCTCAAAAAAGCTTTGCAAACGAGCTTGATAAACCTTGTAGTATGTAAATCTCGCGACCTACCCTCGTGTCTTCTTGTAGGTTGACCCAACCGGGCATAGCGCAGGAGGAGAGAAAAGTTTGCCAGCAAACTCGGGATCCGGAATGCAAACTTCTAACGACAGGTCCTCACTTAGCTTGAAACCAAAATCGCTAAACGGAGAAGTTTAAAGAAAAAGAGCAAAGCAAACAAATAATATTTCTTCTAGTTGTTGTTGTTGTGGAGAATCTGGTTTCAAACCTTAAGAAAAGCAAGAATTCAGGAATTGCAACCAGTTAAATAGGATTATCATCCACAGAGCATCCAAGGTAGTGTTTCACAACCTTCGCAACTTTAAGAGGTGTGGACTTCAACTCCCAGAATTCCCCAGCCAGCATCTCCAGCTAGCCAAGCCAGGCTGTAGACAAGGCAGAGTGGTAGACAAAAGTTGGTATCATTATTCAAGAGACCACATCTTGACCTAAGGTTTATAGCAGTGTTTGTCAATGTCAGCAATTTGTAGATGTATGGACTTCAACTCCCAGCATGCTGCTGGCTGGGGAATTCTGGGAGTGGAAGTCCACACCTCTTAAAGTTGTTGAGGTTGAGAATCACCGACCTAGGCACATAAGAAATTCATTTCCCTCATATCCCTGTGGCCTCATGAAGTTTTCCTTTGATTTCACTCTCCACACATCAAGACGATCCATGAGAGTCAAGGACACTTCAGCAGGAGTTTGCCAAATCCCGAGACTTTTTCTCATAACAATACAATGACACTCAAGTGGGCAATGCGACCTGCACTAATAGGGGGAGGGTGAATTCTATACTTCAGTTATGTGGGTTTGCGTGGGAATTAGCTAGATCTGGTTTTGCCCTCATCAGTGCCAAAATGATGTACTCAATAAAGTTTTGCATTCAGAGGTTGGATCGTCTCGACCGTGCTTGCTTTGGTTGGGTTTGTCAGCCGGAATGTTAATATATGGTTGAGGCAAACCCACATTTCTAGAGGTCTCCAACAAAGAAGGGGTCCTCTACCTTGAAAGTCCCCGTCCTCCAATATTCATCATAACTGTCGCTCACCAGAGACCCCGACTTACCACTCGTAGTCTTCCCTGGTGCAGGAACAATTGGAGACCAGGAACGGTCGATCGAAATCTTCCCCGTTGAAACAAGTGGCGTGAGGCGTTCGCCTTTTGAAGACCGTCTTGTGTCCCAGGAGACACTCGTTCCCGCGTTCATCGGAGGGAGACCACAGCTTATAATCATTTTCCGTGCAAGGCACCCCTAGAAAATAATCAGGGGATATGTTTTAAATTGCGGGGAGTGGGCAGGGAAAGGGAAAAAACCCTGTCACGCTACAAGGACAAGCTTCGGCCTACACCGAGATCAAGAAACGCCACCGGAGGCCAATTCCTTCCCTTACCGAGGACATCCGTGGTGTTGATCTGTAGAATCAGCCAACTGTGGCCGTTTTCTTTATAAGACCCAAAAATGGTGAAGATGGTGCTTTTCTCGCCCGGTTCTGTCAGCAGGCCATACACAAAGACTGGCTTTTCGGAGAATGTGAAGGTTTTCCAAGTTTCCCCTTCATTCGTGCTATACCTATGTGGAAAGAATGACAAGAAGATGTCTGCCATACCTTGGTTTTGGTCCTTCTCCATTCCAGCATCTTTTGCTTCTGAAGTCCCCATTTCTTGGTACTTGTTGTGACCTAGACTCACTTAGTCATTACAAGACACAATTAGTCTCAAACAAACCTATTTTATTATAACAGCTGAGAATTACTTCATTCCCAGCTCAGACCAAATTAATTCCAAAACAAGTCCTTCAGAAAAAGTCCTTGGGGCTTATCACAAACCTTTATTTTTCTTTGGCACCCTGCCAAAGGCCTTTCTTGGCAAAGCCCCACGAAGTTCAGAAACAAGAGATGCTGACTGGAAAACAGATTTAGCAATGTTGCTCTCCTACAAAGAGCCCAAGAGCCTTTGCTGGTCTTTTAAGCCTTATGAGAGGGGCCAATCATCTCCTGGCTTTACTCCAGAGTTGTCCTTTTTGTTTTAGCTGCTCTTGCCTTCTGGCAGCTCTTCTCATGCGTGCACTAGGAACAGGCTCCTCCTGTTCCTCTGCCTCTCTGCTGTCCGACTCTGGAGGCTCTGGAGTCTGCACATCACTCCCATATGGCCCGGGCCCCATCTCTGCTTCCGATGCAGAGCCCTCGTCCGGGCCTTCCCCAGACTCCAGGACTGGCCCATGTTCCTCCCCAGCCTCCTCACTGTCCGACTCCACTGCCAGTTCCGCAGGCTGCCGGTGGACCACAACACTACTTGCCTCTAAGTTCAGGGTATAGCCAGTGATGGAAGAAACATGAGCTTATTTTCTTTTTCCCCCTTGTCGAAGACAATGCTGGCGAGTTGTTTCGGTGCCAATTGGGCCATTAAGATTTGCTGCGGCATCGCACGTCTATTTTACCCCTCTCGAATCCAGAACCTGAAGAGTGAGGTTGCTGGAAATTGGAAACTCGCTGCCAAGTTTCAGCAATTCATTGTGGGGGAAGGTGGGGGCGGCTGTAAAATGGAAACGGGGTGCAGAGTGCTCACTCCTGCGATACAGGCTGACCAGAATGAGGCCCTTTAAAGGCCCTCTGAAAATGTGCAAATTCAGCCAATGTAGATTCCATTAATCTCCATCTCTTCCCCCCAAAAAGACAACAGAAGCTGTTTTGACTGACATTTGGTTCCTGCTCCATGCTAACAATTATTTATTGGTTTGTAATAAAGCCTAAGAACCAACTGATACAATGGTGAAAGCACCAGGCTAGAAACAAGGAGACTGTGAGTTCTAGTTCTATTTTAGGCAGGAAAGATGGGGAGGTGATTTTGGGCCAGTCCCTCTCTCTCAGCCCTAGGAAGGAGGCAACGGCAAACAAACCACTTCTGAAAACCCTTGTCTGGGCAGCCTCCAAGTGTTGGGCATAATAAATAATAAATAAATGATAACATTGAAGAGCTCCACAATCTTGGTGACAACATCCGTTAAGCTATCCTCATGCACATTTTGGAAACCACTCTCCAAGAATTTTCCTGGAGTTTTTCAAAGTGCATGATTAAGAAGATGGAACCAGAGAGATCGGCTGCCTCCTTTAATCATCGCCCACGGTTTTTTCCTTAAAATCAAGATACCGGAAGCAAGAAAGGGTTGCTGATTTGGCCTTCTTCCTACACATGCTGGTTTTGTTTTGCTTTTTCAAATCCGAGATGCAAATTAAATTGCTCACTGGGACGGAACACAATCTGTTGGAATCTGTTGGCCACAGAGGCTTGAGTGAAATTGTCCCTCTAAAGTTTTCTCAGTTCCTAGATTGAATAGCCAAGCAGCAGATGCAGACAGAGATAAAGATCCAAGAGAGAAATATGGGAGGCAAGTCAAAAAAAGCATAGCAATTAAAGTATTGAAGCGGGCAAGAGATGACGGATAGATGATTTCTCTTTTTTTGTTGTTCTGATTTGCTTCTGCTTTTCTCTTTCTCTCTCTTCTCTTTTTTTAGGTAGGTGACATGACTAGAAGTTAGGTAGGATAGAAAGAAAACGTCTTCTAATAAAGGGTGACAGGATTAAAAGTTAAAATAAGTGATAGAAATAAGAGAAGGGGGAATATTAGTGTATACACTTTTATATAATAAAATAAAAGCAACAATAAAAGCAAGAGAAAATAATGGAATAATTGAATAATGACAGACTGCAACTTAATATCAATGTGTATCATTATTAGAAATATATAAGTTGATTGAATGTAATAACTATGATTAATTCTACTGGTTTTATCTGTATTAGAATGCATGACACCCAGGGTGCCACACTGTTCACGCATTGATATGTTTGTAAAAAATAAAAAAACTTGTAAAATAAATAAATAAATGAGGACCCAGATTGTGGGGGCAAAAAGCTGACTTTGTATAAAATATACAAAAGCATGAAGGCTATTGCTTAACGCATTGTAAGCCGCCCTGAGTCTCCGGAGAAGGGCGGCATATAAATCAAATTAAAATAAATAAATAAATAAATATTCTTCACTTTCAAAAATAAATACATACATACATGCATACATACATACATACATACATACATACATAAAGTTTTCTCAGTTTTTCAAATTCTTTACCCATAAAGATTTAGAGCATGGCTATCAAGATTCCTTTTCCATTCTCCCAGGTGGCCTAAAACACCGGGGAAGTGGAAGATAAATGATCCCAGTTTACAGACTCAGTTCCCCCAGGACAGGACTTATTGGTTGGCTTACTTCAGCTGGTTTGTTTCTGAGCCCTGTGTCACAGCCATGAGGATGCCCCCGTGGTCTCCCCAGGAGTAATAATGGGGCCCAGACAGGACCTGAGAAAGGAAGCAAAGAAAATCACTGGATCAATATCAGATAGCAAAAAGACAAATATAAACACGCATGCATAGAAAAATTCATTCGGCATTCTGGAAAGTCGATATTCATGTGCCTGCTTGCTCTAACAAATACATCCAAGGCGGATCCTATCATTTTTCCCATCAAGGAATCACGTTACTGGAACTGCCCCTCTCTGCAAAATTGCCAACATTCATTTGAAAAACACCTTTATACATTCTCAACAACTTTTGTTGTTGTTAGTTGCAAAGTTGTATCCAACCATCGCGACCCCATGGATGACATTCCTCCAGGCCTTCCTGTCCTCTACTATCCTCTGGAGTCCATTTAAGCTCACGCCGACTGCTTCAGGGACTCCATCCAGCCACCTCCTTCTCTGCCGTCCCCTTCTTCTTTTGCCCTCCATCATTCCCATCATTAGGCTCTTCTCCAGGGAGTCCTTCCTTCTCATTAGGTGGCCAGAGTATTTGAGTTTCCTCTTCAGGATCTGGCCTTCCAAAGAGCAGTCGGGGTTGATCTCCTCTAGGACTGACCGGTTCTCAACAACTTATCTGGGGTTAAATACCAACGATACATCAGTTTATAAAACTTTTCTTTTCAGAACCCTTTGATTCCCACAATGGAGGAATGGCTACAGAAATGGATGGAGTTAGTAGAGATGACTAAACGGTCTGGTTTGATCAAAGAAAAAAAAAATACAACTACTTTTGTTTCTACTTGGAAATCACTTCTGGACTTTGGGCTCGAGGAGGGGGATCAGATCAGATGTTCCCAAATATTTTTGCATCTTGTGAGACCAGAGGCCAAGCAAAAAAAATTAAAACCCTCTTCTTCTTCTTCTTCTTCTTCTTCTTCTTCTTCTTCTTCTTCTTCTTCTTCTTCTTCTTCTTCTTCTTCTTCCTTCTTCTCCTCCTGCTCCTCCTCCTCCATCTCCTTCTCCTTCTCCTCCTCCTTCTATATAAATTTTATTTGTACATTTTTCTTTAACTTACATAAATGCTTAATTATACAGTGTATTTGACTGGGTCAACTTACTTATACATAATATCAATAATAGTAATAATATTTACTTCTAAATAGTAGTATTCTTCCAGCTTCTAATTTCTACCTTTGTGGTCTAACCATTTGTAGAACAAATCCCATGTTAAAAAATATTCTATATCTTCTTTGTCTTTTATCTTTAATGTTAGCCTATCTATTTCCGCACAATCTAATTTTTTTTTTAAAATTATGGTTACATCTGTAGGAATTCCCTCATTTTTCCAATATTGTGCAAATACATTTCTTGCTGCTGTCAATGCATGTAATATTAAATATACAACCCCTTTATCATATTTTTCTGGTAGTATATCTGTCTTCTTCTTCACAGGCTGGGCAGGAGCCAAACCAAGCCCGTCCTCTCCCCATAGAGGAAGGGGAGGTGGCTGCAGATTTTGCAGATTATCCGAATGCAGGCCGAAAGTCACATCATCAGATGAGCTTGGCTGCAAAACCCAGCCCACCCAAAAAGCCGAAGGCACTTCCATGAACGGAAGCCAAGCCTCACTGGGAAGGCAAAGGGCCAAACTATTTTGGCAGCTCACCCTGTGGTCTCCCTTCCTTCCCACAATCGGATCACCCCAACACCCTTGAGGGAGGCATTTGCGGAAGAAAAGATGGGGCATGGAGGCTGGCGAGCGAAGGACAAATGCCATTCACCATAAATTAAGAGCCTGTAGTACAGTGGACTAATGCACTGTTATTAACATCTGCTGCTTGCAATTACTGCAAGTTCAAATCCCGCCAGGCTCAAGGTTGACTCAGCCTTCCATCCTTTCTAAGGTAGGTGAAATGAGGACCCAGTTTGTGGGGGCAATAAGCTGACTTTGTATAAATATACAAAAGTATGAAGGCTATTGCTTAACGCATTGTAAGCCGCCCTGAGTCTCCGGAGAAGGGCGGCATATAAATTAAAGCAAAAAAAAAATGGGCAGCAACCTTTCTCTGCAGGTACAGGGATTTAAGACTAACTTCAAAGGTGTTTTTTTCCAAAAGGCAACAGGACTTTCTTGGGGATTTGTTCTTTGAAAACGTTTCGCTTCTCATCCAAGTAGAAAAATAGGGACCCCCTTTGGTGGGAATGTAACAGCGTTCCGTGCGCCTTTGGTGTTGAGTCATGCCGGCCACATGACCACAGAGATGTCTTCTTCGGACAGCGCTGACTCTTTGGCTTTGAAACGGAGATGAGCACCGCCCCCTAGAGTCGGGAACAACTAGCACATATATGCGACGGGAATCTTTTTTACCTTTTATCATTATTTCATGGGGGGGGGGGGTTGCACTACAAATAAGATATGTGCAGTCTGCATAGGAATTCGTTCATGTTTGTTTTCAAACTATAGTCCGGCCCGAACAGTCTGCGGGACCGCAAATTGGCCCCCTGTTTAAAAAGTTTGAGGACCCCTGCTCTAGAGCTACAGGGATGCCACCCTTCCCCCACCCGCCACCCCCGAGGGTCTGGCGTTTCCTTACCTCCTGCCATCGGACGCCAGCACTGCTGGAAATGTAAACATTCATTTTACTTGCCATGTTCTTCCCCACAGAACCTACGAAGAGAAGAAGCACGCGAATCTCAGGGCAATTATTCTGATCTTTTAAGTGCCTCAAGATCAGGGGTGTCAAACTCGATTTCATTGAGGGCCGCATCAGGTTTGTGTTTGACCTCGGGGGGGGGGGCGAAGTGCAGGGATAGTATTCAGCCAGTTCTATCCGGTTCGGGCATACCGGTAGGGGCGACGGCGGGGTACGCCGCCCACCCGATCGGATGTCATGACATCCCATTTTCCACATTTTCGAGGCCTTGCGCATGCACGGTGATGACACGTGTGACCGTAGCAAGCACACACACGCGCACACACATTTGCGAACGGGTAGGGAAGGTAAGTGAATACCTCCCCTGGCGAAGTGGATGTGACCAGGGTGGGCGTGGCTAGCTCGACATCACTCGTATCAGGGACGCCTGGGGTGGTCCGACCTGACAGAAAAAACGGGCTCCCAAGCTTCGTTTTCGGCTGCAATGGCCTCCTGCGATCCTCTGCCAGCAAAAATGAAGCTCAGGAGGGCCGCGTGTGGCCCTCCTAAGCTCCATTTTTGCTGACGGAGGCACCGCGGGCCGGTCCTTCACTGTTTCCAGGGCAGCCCAGCGGGCTAGATCTAAGCAACCTGAGGGACGGATCCGGCCCCCGGGCCTTAAGTTTTGACACCCCTGTACAAGACAGTGCCCGTGACTCCAAAACAGATGCCTAATACAGGGGGTCGTTCAGTGACCATTCTAAGTTCCCTTGGCACTGAAAAAAAGTGACTTATGGATGTTTTTCATACTTACCCTGTTTCCCCTAAAATAAGACATCCCCTGATAATAAGCCCAATCGGGCTTTTGAACGCATGCATTAAAATAAGCCTCCCCCCGAAAATAAGCCCTCCCCAAAAATATTTAAACGCAGAGCTGGAAATCAGGTAAGACGGCAAGAGGAGCCCCATCTTGCTCCACGCGCCCCCAAAATAGTAAGACCTCCCCAAAAATAAGGCCAAGCGCTTATTTTGGAGTTCAAAAAAATATAAGATAGGGTCTTATTTTTGGGGAAACACGGTAGAACCCTTGTGGCATCACTGTGTTCAGGTGATCTTTGCAGTATCCTTCCCCGAGGAGCGGGATGGGAATGGGGATTTTGCAGTATCCTTCTCCCAGGAGTGGGGTGGGAATAGATATTTTGCAATATCCTTCCCCCTGGTGTGGGGTGGGAATGGAGATTTTGCAGTTTCCTTCCCCTGCTATGCCCACCAAGCCACACCCACCAAGCAACATGAAGCCATGCCCACAGAACTGCTAGTAAAAAAATTTGGATTTCACCACTGGCTTTGACCATCAACCAACCAGAATTTAAGAAGAGGAGAGCGAAAGGATCAAAGCGAAGTCAACCCAAGGGAAAAAAAAAACCCCAACAACCTACCTGTTGCAATGATCAATCCAGGAGCGGATTCCTTGGATAGGATGGGCATTCTGCGCAACTGGAAGTTGAGAAGCTGGCTGAGTCTTTGGGCCAAGTGAAGAGAACACCCCAAAGAAAGCTAGTGAAAGAGGAAACACACAAATGTCACTTGCCTTGTCCTACCAGAAAATAAGATGCATTTAGAGTTCCGGAATCTGGGTGTCTCATCAAGGGCTCTGAATCAAGGATCGACGTCCCAGACTTGTAACATCATTGCAAAAAAGGCATTAAGAGTTGTCAATCTCATTTTACGAAGTTTTCTCTCTGGTAACGCTATACTTCAAACTAGCATATAAAACCTTTGCCAGACCTACCCTTGAATACTGCTCACCTGCCTAGAATCCTCACTGTGTTTCAGATAATCAATACATTAGAGAAAGTCCAGAGATATTTTACTAGAAGAGTCCTCAAATCTTCTGCTCGATATAAAATTCCCTATCCCACCAAGCTTGAAATTTTAGGTCTGGTTAGCCTCAAACTATGCCGTCTATGTTCCAACCTATGCTTACTTCATAAGATTATTTACCAAAACATCCTACCTGTAAATGAATACTTTCATTTCAACCGTAATAACACAAGGACTCAAACTCAATGTAATTCGCTCTAATCTTGATTGTAGGAAATGTGACTTCTGCAATAGAGTAGTAAATATCTGGAACACTCTACCTGGTTCTGTTGTTAGTCTCACTAATCTCCATACCTTTTACCTTAAACTGTCTACCGTGGACCTTTCATGTATTTTAAGAGGTCCCTAAGGGGGGCGTGCATAAGCGCACCAGCCTGCCTACCGTCCCTGTCCTACTGTCCCCATTTATATGTAATCATTCTATGTGTTTATGGCTATGTTTTGCCTATTTATATCCTTTTATTTGTGCCAATTTTTTTCATGTGTCCATGTCCATGTCTATACAGTTACTTGTTTCCTTGTACTTGTTGATAGATGGGGGGAGATGATTGATAGAAAGATAGCTAGATGGATGATAGAGATAGATAGATAGATAGATAGATAGATAGATAGATAGATAGATAGATAGACAGATAGATAATGATTGATAGAAAGATAGCTAGCTAGATGGATGATAGATAGATAAAGATAGCTAGCTAGATGGATGATAGATAGATAGATGATAGATAGATAGATAGATAGATAGATAGATAGATAGAAAGATAGCAAGCTAGATGGATGATAGATAGATAGAAAGATAGCTAGCTAGATGGATGATAGATAGATAGATAGATAGATAGATAGATAGATATAGATAGATAAAGATAGATAGATAGATTCATAGATAGATAGATAAAGAGTCCTCTTCTAAAAATCACACGACAGTGCCAAAAAAAAAATCTCTGCAGCTAATTTCTGCTCACATGCATTTATGCGTCATCAGCACAAGTAGTTTCAGTTGCATTCTGGGAAAAAAGACACTGCCATTTTGGCAAGGGGCAGATTGTTAAAACCTCCCTGCCAAGTGATAGACATTTAAGAAGCTGAGCAGTTAAGGTGCATCACAACCGCTTTGGCCAACGTTTCTTGGTGGCCTCATGGGAAACCTTCACTGGTCAGGCTCCAAAACCAAGAAAGAGTTACTTCAAAGCAGTTTTCTTTATTGTTCACCGCCCATAAGATAGAAATCTTGACAAACTGAAGCAACTACTTACATCGTTAAAGATATTCTCTGAGAATTGCTAGGGAGGAGCCCTCGTAACTCTCTCTTCTTCCTAGCCAAAGCCTGCTGTCTCTGGAATGCAGTCCCTCCCTCCCTCCCTCTCTCCCTCCTGGGAATCCAGACTACATTCCACCACTGAATTTGTCCACAAAGAAGCAATGGTGCTTATTTCCCAACCAATACGACAAACCTCTCATCCTGTGTGCATGTCTTCCAACAGGCACGGTATGTCTCCACATATTCCTCTTGCATGGTTGGTAAGCTTTGATTCAACATCTGCAATGGGCTGTGGGAATGACCTTGAGAGACAGGAAGGGAAGCCACAGGCTGGACAACCAGAATATAAAAGAAATCTCATCCCATAGGAGGAAAAGGAATGTAGGAAGCTTTTCAGACGGAAGCCTCCCTAATTTCCCAGAGAGTAAAAGAAGAGGGTTGCGATGGGGTTGCGATGGGTTGGACACAACTTCGCAACTAACAACAACAACAGCAAAAGAAAAGGAGTAGAGAAACATTTGCAGTCTTGCAAGATTCCGTTCACGTAACCTTACAATAAAAATACGAGCTACGTCTCCCAGTTGGCCTTCTTGTTTGTACTACCTCGCAGGGCTGATAGCAATCTTGCAAGATTGAAAGTATTTCTCTCCTCCTTTCCTTTTACTCTCCAGAAATGCAGGTAGGGTCAGTTCTGAAAACAGCTCTCCCTCTCTCCTTTCTTCTGTAGGATATTTTTTACATGATGGTTGACCAAGCTTCTGACTCTCCTTTCTGTCTCCCAAGGCCATTCCCCCAGACCATTACAACACCATATTTGAGGGGCAGCCACAAAGAAGAATTATTCTCCAAAGCACCAGAGGGCAGGACAAGAAACAGTGGTTGGAAACTAATTAAAAAGAGAAGCAACCTGGAATTAAGGAGAAACATCCTAACAGGGAGGACAATTATCCAGTGGAACAGCTTGCCTTCAGACGTTGTGGGTGCTTCATCACTGGATGTTTTTAAGAAGAGTCTAGACAGCCACTTATCTGAAATAGAATAGGTCTGTAATGGTGAACCTATGGCACCTATAGAGCCATATTGGTGAGCACGTGAGCTCAGCTGATTTTTGGGCCTTCTGGGCCCACCAGAAGTAGGGAAATAGGCTGTTTCCTGCCTCCGGAAGGCCGGGGGCAGGGGGAAGGCCCGTTTTTTGCTCTCCCTAGTCTCCAGAGTGTCTCTAGGAGCCTGGGGAGGGCGAAAACGGCCTTCCCCACCTCCCTGGAGGCCCTCTGGAGGCCAAAAATGGCAAACGGGCTGTTTCCGGCCTCTGAAGGGCCTCAGGGGGCTGGGAAGGCCCTTTTTGCCCTCCCCAGGCTCCTAGAGAGACTCTGGAGACTGAGGAGAGCAAAAAACAGGCCTACCGGGCCTTCGCGTGCCAAAAGCGGGGGCAGTGCGGGGGGCTTGTGAGCGCATGCACAGGGGGTGGAACGAATAGAATTATGGGTGTGGGCACGCGCGCGACATCTCCCCACACACACTCCTCCCGCTTTTGGCACGCGATGGCAAAAAGGTTAGCCATCACTGGTATAGGTTCTCCTGCTTGAGCAGGCAGCCAGATTAGAGACCTCCAAGGTCCCTTCCAGCCTTACGTGCTTCATCGATGACCAACAAAGTAAGAGAAGCTCACCATGGGTTGATGTCCCCCAACTTCACCTCCTTTTACAACCTGCGTAAAGCTTAACTGGGGCCCTGGAATGCAAGGAGCGATCCGAAAGCCTTCAGAGAGGCAGCACCATTCCGTCAGTTGTCGGCATCATTACCTCACAATTTATCTTTTCGCCATAGTGAGTATACTCTGGAGGCTGGAGAAATTCCCAAGTCCCACCTTTGTCGAAGGTGATGACCGAGCGCATATTCTCGTCACTGAATGAGCCGTTGATCAAGGTGGTGATATAGACCCCCGGAATGCCCTCCACGCGGTGGAAGTCTGCAAAAGGCTCGCTTGCTAAGTATCTGCCGAAAGAAGATACTCACTCACTTACCAGTCCTTCGAGGTAAAGCGAGACGACAAAACCGACATGGCGAGAAACAAGGGATTTAACTTTACAGATGTACAGCACGGTGCGAGAGTCTTAGGTCATCAACCGCTCGGTTGTTTTAGCAACGTTTTAATTTCGTCTTTTAATGACCCCGTAATCTCTTACATCGGGATGGAGTCGGGGCAACTGAATAGAGTAGAGTGTTTCCTGGCCGGATGCCCTCCCTGTCGCCAATGCAGAGTTTGCAGCAAATACCATATCTTTCGGAGTATAAGACGCTCCGGACTATAAGTCGCACCTATCATTTTTAGGGAGGAAAACAAGGGGGGGGGGGGGAAATCTGCCTCTGCCTCCAGCAATTTGCCTCCTTGCAGCAAACAGTAAACAGCCTGTTTCAGTTTCATTTTCAGCCCAGGCTGATTAGCACAAGAAAAAAAAAATCTGCCTCAGCCTTCCATCCTTCCGAGGTCGCTAAAATGAGGACCCAGATTGTTGGGGGCAAATAGGCTGACTCTGTAAAACCGCTTAGAGGGCTGTAAAAGCACTGTGAAGCGATATATAAGTATAAATGCTATTGCTTTTGCTATTACACCATTGCTACAACAGGTCTAATGGTGACCTAACACTTTTGCACTGTACTGTAAGTTATGATAGCAGAATCGTGAACTGTTTCCTCCATTTTATCTTTTCTCCCAGACGAAGGCGAGCGTCACCTATTCGTCTCTCTCCAGGAAGACATCTACCTCCTTACCTTACTAAGGTGTCGCTGCCTGCTCCACCAGGACTGTAATACAGGATGTTTTCCAAAGTCAACGAAAAGTGAAGGCCTTCAGCTTCGGAGATATAGAGGCTGGTGCTATTGTTACTATAAGTGACGCACACAAACACCTGGTCTTCAGAAGTGTCAGCAATGTAATACTCCTTCAAGACAAAATTTGGGAGCGGAAAATGTTTGTTTGTTTTAAACGGGTAATAAAAAGCATTCAAGCAAGTGGCTTAGAGAGAGGTGATTATGTGTATGATTTTAACCCCCTGTATTACTCTCGTTCCAGGACACATTTTTCTGCTGAGGGGGGAGGGGGCGGCCTGTCAGACCTGGAAGCCATCTTTTACATTTGGGCCTTCAGGAGGCCTGCCACATTTTCTACTGTGGGAAACTAGGAGGGGAGATTGCACAGAGTATGGGTAATATGTAGTCAAAATAACATTCCTTTCTCAGAGAGTCAAGGACGCCTTGCCCTGGCACCTGGAGTCGGATGACTGGGAGGTATCTCCAGTTTGGATGGTGGATGATTGGACTATGTGATGGACATGTTGGTGCTAGACAGGAACTTGAAATTTCACTTGGGTGGGGAAAACCTGGAAACTTTCAGATTCGGATTTTCCCAGATGTGCCAATATGACATCTCTAATAAAATGGAACTTTTGAGGAAATTCAAGGCACGGAGTCTTCTTTCGTTGGGGGTGTTACTTGGAATCTTGACACGTGTAATGTCTAATTCCAAAAATGCCACCAAAATCTCACACCTTTACCAAGAGTTCACTGTAGCTTTAGATAAGCCTCAGTTTCCCCCCAGCTATGCAATGGGCATAATGATAATAGCCACTTGTTTTAAAGGATGCCTACCATCTATGGTAGGTCAGTCCTAGACTAACATACACCATACACCGGTCAGTCCTAGAGGAGATCAGCCCTGACTGCTCTTCAGAAGGCCAGATCCTGAAGAGGAAACTCAAATACTTTGGCCACCTAATGAGAAGGAAGGAAGGACTCCCTGGAGAAGAGCCTAATGATGGGAACGATTGAGGGTAAAAGAAGAAGGGGACGGCAGAGAACGAGGTGGCTGGATGGAGTCACTGAAGCAGTCGGCGTGAGCTTCAATGGACTCCAGAGGATGGTACAGGACAGGAAGGCCTGGAGGAACATTGTCCATGGGGTCGCGATGGGATGGACACGACTTCGCAACTAACAACAACAACAAACCATTTATGGAAACATGCCAAAAAAAATATCTGAAAGAAAGCATGCTGATTATAGAAGTGTGGTTTACGGTTGAATAAAGTTTCTAGTCCCCGCTCATTTGTTCGTACCTTAATGGGGTGTCTTGTTGCAAACTGTGCAGCCTGCATTGGCTTCCGGTTAAAGGAGACCCAGAGTTGAACAGATGTTCGTAACTGATCACCTGACAGAGGCTGCGAAGAGAAAGAGACGGGCAGAGAAAAATTCAAATATTATGGCTCTTTTTCATTCTGGGTCAAAAAAGAGCTTTTTGATGAAAGTTTTGACAAACCGAAAACAAGTTAAAAACAAGGCCCTACATAAACCTCCACGTTCCACTGAGGTTCCAGGACTAAATTTCAGTTTAATGTTTAAACAAAAGTTTGTTTCTGGGACTCTGGCAATGCAGTCCGATGATACAAGAAATCACGAGATGTTTTCAGAGTTAACATTGTCAAACAAGTTTGTCTTATGAAATTCTGCTAACCTGGCTCACCTCTGGTAAACTTAGAGGTGAGTTCAGACGAACAAGGTGCACTCTTGAAGAGGGGACAAAACCAGAATTTCTTCCCCCAGCTTTTTAAATGTCCTTTTAAAGACTAAATGGGGAGTCCTCAACTTACAAATGGATCGTTTCGCGACCAAAGTTATAACGGCACTGAAGAAAGTGGCTTAGGACCAGTCCTCAGACTTAGGACCGGTCCTTGCACTTATGACCATCACAGCATTCCCCACACTCACGGGATCATAATTCGGGCGCTTGGCAACCGGCATTGTCAGAGTATGAATATTCATAGACTGGAATAGGCAACAGATCAGCCAATGGGGACTGTTTGGATAGACATGGTAACAGGTCAGCCAATGAGGACTGTTTGGTAACTGAAACATAGTATTTGTTGTATGGGGCCATAAGAGGCAGTTTGGAGCCTGGACGTGGCTTAACTGTTCTGTATATAAGCTTGAAGGCAATAGCTTCTCTCGTCTCCATTTTGCCTTCTCCATTTGGTGCTTCCATTTTGTGCTGTGTTTGTACCTGATATTTCTCTTCTTGACAACGTGGAAAAACCTACAAGGCAGGGGTGAAATCCAGCTGATTCTATCCGGTCCGGGCAAACCGGTAGCAGCGGCTGCGGGAAGCTCTGCCCACCCGCGTGGACGTCATTGTTGTGACCCAGGCCCAAGTAGTTAGTATTAAATGCAAACAGTTCGAAAACAAACAGACTTTATTAGAACAGCTTAGAATTAACTCATTCTCAGCGTAGTCCAAATTAAATTAAAGCAAAATCTTCAAAACACAAATTCCTCAGTTTATCACCGAACTTGGGTTAATTAGGCAACCTGCCAAAGGCTTTTCTTGGCAAAAGTTCAGGAGCAGAAGACGCCGACAAGAAATAAATGCAGCAAGACAAGACACAAATCTATCAACGTTGTTTTCCGACAAAGAGCCCAAGAGCTGTTGCTGGTCTTTTAAGCCTTATGGGAGGGGCCAATCATCTCTTGGCCTTACTCCCGAGTCGTCCTCTCTGCTTTATCTGCTCCTGCCTTCTGGCAGCTCTTCTCATACGTGCATTAGGAACAGGCTCCTCCTGTTCCTCTGCCTTTCTACTGTCGGCCTCTGGAGGCTCCGGAGTCCGCACATCACTCCCCGATGGCCCTGGCCCCATCTCTGCCTCCGACACAGAGCCCTCATCCGGGCCTTCCCCAGCCTCCAGGACCAGCCCATGTTCTTCCTCAGCCTCCTCACTGTCCGACTCCACTGCCACCTCTGCAGGCTGCTGGTGGACCACAACAGTCATGACATAACTTTTTTGCAAAATTTTAAGCCTCTGAGCATTCGCAGACGACGGCACACACCCATTGGCAAACAGGTAGGGAGGGTAAGTAAATTTCACCCCTGCTACAAGGGTATTATATGCCTTATGTGTTGTTATGTACATGTGTGTGCTGCAACAAACTCTGACGGGCATGTATTTACCATGCGGGTTTTTTTGCAATGCCATCTCTAATCTCTTATATTCTTCCTCTAAATTCTTTTGCATTTGCCTTTTCTGTTTATTTCTTTTTCCTAAATATGTCATTGTCAATCCTCTAATATATGCTTTACTAGTATCCAACACATTTTGTAAAGATGTATCTTCTTGTTCTCTTTAAAGATTCAAATCAGAAAATAAAAACTTTTTTAATAAAAAAAAAAAAGATTCAAATCAAAAATTACTAAATGAAAAAAAAAAAACTTTTTCAACAATATATGGAAAAAGAACTGACTTTCTTCTTTAATATATTTACGAGGGTTGCTGGATCCCAAGATCGTGCAGTCGTCTTTTGCAAACTTCCTAGACATCTTTTCCAACAAGGAAAAGCCAAAAGGGGGAAGCTGGATTTTCTTAACGGCCACATGATTCATTTAATAACCAGAGGGATTGGCTTAAACAAGGTGGCAAAAAAAAAAAAAAATGGGCATAAGATCGGGCACGATTGATTGATATGATAAATGTGGATGGATTTCACCTTGGGGAAGTCATGGGGGGTGGGGAGGGCTTGGGGGGTTAAGGGAGGGATGGGGAGGGGAAAAAAATGGGGGGAAAATTGATGTTTGTAAAACTTTTTCAATAAAAAAAAAAGAAAAAAAGATCAGGCACGATTCACTTAACAACCACCTTAGCGATAGAAATGTTGGGCTCAATTACTGTATGGTCATAAGTCAAGGACTAGCCGTACAAGGTCCTTCCAGGATTGGGTCCATCCCAAAAACGACACGCACTGCAGAGTTTTGAAACTTAAACCCAAACAAAACAAAAAAAAAGCCTCTTTTTTCCATGGGAGCTTGCCAGAAACTACTGTTCCAAATTCACCGTGGCTCAACGAACTGAATCCATTTGCTACAATGGGATAGTTTAAACAGCGGTGGTTTTGGGCTCGCAGCCTAAGCCAATACTTATTCACTTGTTGGTTGGTCTCCAAGCAATTAACAAATGCCACAATGTTGTAACTATACTGCGGTTGCAGATTGAAAAGAAGCGGCGTGTGAGAGAGAGAGAGAGCAAGAGAGAACGAGAGAGAATTTCTTTTCTGGAAACATCATCTGTGTCGTATTCACCAATGAATGCAAAAACTGCTTTTTGGAATGGAATGGAATGGAATGGAAGGGAAGGGAAGGGAAGGGAAGGGAAGGGAAGGGAAGGGAAGGGAAGAGAAGAGAAGAGAAGAGAAGAGAAGAGAAGAGAAGAGAAGAGAATAGAATAGAATAGAATGGAAGAATAAGTAGAAGGGAAGGGAAGGGAAGAGAAGAATAAGTAGAAAGGAAGGGAAGGGAAGGGAAGGGAAGGGAAGGGAAGGGAAGGGAAGAGGAGAGGAGAGGAGAGGAGAGGAGAGGAGAGGAGAGGAGAGGAGAGGAGAAGAGAAGAGAAGAGAAGAGAGACTGGAATAAATAGAGAAGAGAAGAGAAGAATAAGTAGAAAGGAAGGGAAGGGAAGGGAAGGGAAGGGAAGGGAAGGGAAGGGAAGGGAAGGGAAGGGAAGGGAAGAGAAGAGAAGAGAAGAGAAGAGAAGAGAAGAGAAGAGAAGAGAAGAGAAGAGAAGAGAGACTGGAATAAATAGAGAAGAGAAGAGAAGAGAAGAGAAGAGAAGAGAAGAGAAGAGAAGAGAAGAGAAGAGAAGAGATGGGCTAGGCCATCAAAATGGTGCCATTTAGAAATGCTAACATAAAGGTCTTGATAGGCTGACTGCCACGAACACATCGGATTTCTTTCTGAGAAGAACAACGCAACCAAAACAAGGAGGCACAAGGCCAGAACGAAGTATGAGAACTTGTCAGGGACAGCGCAGAGGCCATGACCTTGATTAGCGTAAAAGGTGAAAGCCGGTTTCAAAATGTCTTGTTCCAAAGCAGTCGGCCAGCGAAGGGAGAAATTTCTCTCTCTTCTTCCTTTCTAAGAAAGTACATCGTGTGCAGGTGAATATTGGAGTTCCAGCAGTTCTGGAACATGTCGTAATAAATTTTAAAACAACAACAATTGGTTGTGTTCCTGCTTGTTGGAAGGAAATCTCTCCATCAAACGTTTAGACACAGTAGTTGGTTTTTTTTGTTTTGTTTTTTGTAGTCTTGTGATTTTTGTTTTTAAGGGATGAATTTAACAGCGATGAACGGTTTGTAGCCAAGCAAGAGGCCCACACAGTAATGGGTAACATGTTAAAATTCCTGAACAAATAAACTGAGATTTGCCCCTCAATGGCCTATGTTAAAATGCTTATTTGTGTTATTCTCCTGGCCTTCAAACTCGTACGGCGTTGCAGCCAGTCCGTGCCAGACCTCGTAAGAATCATTCATCGATCTCAATTGCAAATACGGACTGAATTTTAAATACAAATGGAAAAAGTCCTAGAACAAACTTGGAGCAAACTCTTCGTTCTTCTACCGAGTTGGAGAACAAACTTTGCAAGAGAGTCCGACACAGTCAGGCCTTCCCTGTTGGAAATGCACGTCCATCTACAGTAGATCAGGGGTCTCCAATCTTGGGCAACTTCAAGACTTGTGGACGTCAACTCCCAGAATTCCCCACCCAGCCTGGCCTGGCTGGCTGGGGAATTCTGGGAGCTGAACTCCACAAGTCTTAAAAGTTGCCAAGGTTGGAGACCTCTGATTCAGGGGTGGGCTTCAAAAATTTTAGCAAGGGGTTCTCCACCCGGTTGCGTGGCCTTGACAGGCGTGGCCTAGTTGGTCTCCTGCACCATGGTGGGGGGAGAGGGTGTTTTAGCCCTCCCCAGGCTCCGGAGGTTTTCCTCGAGCCTCAAGGAGGGCGAAAACGGCCTTCCCAGGCTCCGGAGGCCACTGGAGGCCAGAAACGGGCTTCCCAAACTTCTGCTAGGCTGATTTTTCACCCTCCCCGAGCCTCCGAGCCTCCACGCACGTCCTGCACTTACCTGCATCCAAAACGGGCCACATGGGGATTCCTGGGAGGGGTGGGGTGGAGTGGGCGGGGCCAGCCAGGAGTGGGATTTGGGGGTTCTCTGAACTGCACAGAATCTTAGCTAGAGGTTCTCCCGAACCCCTGCGAACCCCCAGTAGCCCACACCTGCCCTGATCTAGACAGGATCTTACAATCTGTGGGTGGATGGTGGAAGACACCTCCGCAGCCCCTAAGAGGGCAGTTTCTTACCCCAGATTTCGTTGCAAAGAGGTATTTGTCCCTGAGCTGGAAGTCTTCCACCTCTTCCAGCAAAATCTCTTTATTTTCCCGCGTCTGGAAGAAATCTGTGCTGCGGAGGACCGTTGAGGACAAATTAGGCTCGTGCCGCTCGATGTAAATTGTATTTGGCTTGTCGTATGGCTCCACGCCCCTTAATGGCAGAAGAAAGCAAAGGGGGTGGTAGAAATTGGTGCATTTATTTATTCATTTATTCATTCATTCATTCATTCATTCATTCATTCATTCATTCATTTGGACCAGGGGTCTTCAAAGTTGGCAACTACAAGACTTGTGGACTTTTCATGCTGGCTGGGGAATTGTGGGAGTTGAAGTCCACAAGTTACCAAGTTTGCAGACTCCTGATTTAGACCCATCAAAATTTATTTATTTTATTTTATTAATTAAATTTCTATACCGCCCTTCTCCAAAAAGGACTCAGGGCGGTGCACAGCCAAAGTAAAAACAGAGCATACAAAATTTAAAAACAATATTAAAATAATTAAATATTCTGGCCGTAAATTAAAACAACCCAATTTAAAATCAATTTAAAATTAAACTCACGCCAGCCCAGTTCTTGTGTTCTCCAGAATTTTTCATCAAGGGATGAAGAAGAGCTGTCTCTCTCTCTCTCTCAACACACCACACACACACACACACACACACACACACACACACACACACACACACCACAGCAGAGGTTCCCAATTGGATATTGGTGATGTGCGATCTAATTTGCAGAATGCATTTCCATGCTGTCATGGGCCCTGATAGATTAGATCACTGTTTCTCAACCTCCGCAACTTTACGAAGTTTGGATTTCAACTCCCAGAATTCTTCAACCAGTATGCTGGCGAACAGAGATTACTGTAAAGTTTGGAGGTTGAGAAACACTCAATAATGCCTCCTCTACCCCAGTAGGCTGCCTCCAACAGTGGTCAGTCAAATGCACCTAGAACAGGGGTGTCAAACTCGAGGCCTGGATCCGGCTGGCGGGGCTGCCCTGGATACAGCGAACACATGGATATAGCGCACACGTGGTCCTCCCAAGCTCCGTTTTCACTGACAGAGCACCACAGGTGTCCCCGACATGATGAGCTGGCCAGGCCACGTCCACTCCGGCTCCCCGAGGTGAAACACAACCCTGATGTGGCCCTCAATGAAATCAAGTTTGACACCCATGACCTAGGACCGTGATGGCGAAACTATGGCATATGTGCCAAAGGTGGCATGCGAAGCCATATCAGTGGGCACGCCAGCTCAGCTCTGGGGCGCATGCACGCACCAGCCAGCTGATTTTTGGGCCTTCTGGGCCCACCAGAAGCCTCTCTAGGAGTCTCTGGAGGCTGGGGACAGCAAAAAACGTTACTTCCTGTCCAACCAGGAGTTGGGAAATGGGCCGTTTCAGGCCTCCAGAGGGCCTCCAAGGAGGTGGGGAAGGCTGTTTTCGCCCTCCCCAGATGCATAGAGAGGATCTGGAGCCAGGTGAGAAAGAAAAACTGACCTACCGGACCATCGCGTGCCAGGAGTTGGGGGAGAGGGTGGGTTGCGTGCACATGCGCAGGGCGGGGTGCATAGAATTATGGGTGCGGGCACACGTGTGCGCGAACCTCCCCTGCCCGCCCCCTCCTGGCACACAATGGCAAAAAGGTTAGCCATCCCTGACCTAGGACAAAGTTTTTCAATCTGGAGACCAGAGACCCCTGGTAGTCCATGTGGATACCACCAGTGGAGGGAGAGAGGAAGGGAAAGGGCAGCAAATAAGCAAAAAACCCTTTTTTAAATATAATTTTGGCCAACATTTTGGGAGGTCAATGAATCTTACAAGGTTTGGGACGTTCTTGTTTGAAATCACCCCAGATTGGAAGGAAGTGAAATCTGTGCAGGGGGGAATAAAATGTCCCCGGAAATAAATGACAGAACTTACCAAGCGAAGGACTTCACGTGTTCATGAATCATAATCCAGGTTTGCCCAAAATCGTCCGATTTCCAGAGCTGAAAAAAAGGAGAAGATGGCAAGATATATTTGAGAGTCGAGTTACGGCAAGCTAAATTCGAAGAGCAGAATAATAAGCCACCAAGGTGGATTCTTTGCCGTGAACCAGAAAAATGGGTGGAAAGGAATGGGGAAAGGATGAAGGGAAGGGAAAGGGAATGGGAAAGGAAAAGAGAAGAAAGAGGGAAAGAAAAGGAAAAATAGGAAAGGAAAGGAAAAGGAGGCAAGGGGAAAGGGGGAAGGAAAGGAGGAGAGGAGGAGGGGAGGGAAGGGAAGGGGAGGGAGGAGAGGAGAGGAGGAGAGAGGAGAGGGAGAGGAGGAGAGGAGAGGAGAGGAGAGGAGAGGAGAAACTAAGGGAAGGGAAGGGAAGGGAAGGAAATAAGGAAAGGAAAGGAAAGGGAAGGGAGAGGGAAGGGAAGGGAAGGGAAGGGAAGGGAAGGGAAGGGAGGGAAGGGAAGGAAAAATAGGAAAGGAAAGGAAAAGGAGGCAAGGGGAAAGGGGGAAGGAAAGGAGGAGAGGAGAGGAGGGGAGGGGAGGGGAGAGGAGAGAGAGGAGAGGAAACTAAGGAAAGGAAAGGGAAGGGAAGGGAAGGGAAGGGAAGGGAAGGAAAGGAAAGGAAAGGAAAGGAAAGGAAAGGAAAGGAAAGGAAAGGAAAGGAAAGGAAAGTGAGAAGGAAGAAAGAAAATGGAAGAAGGAAGAAAGAAAAAGAATAATCCTATTTTCTATGAGAAGGGGAGGAGGGGAAGAAGGGAAGGGACAGAGCAAAAATGTCTGCCTAATGAGACCAGAAAGACAGAAATACTGCATTATATTCATCCCCAGGCCGTATTTTTTTTTCCTGTGGCTAAGCAAAAAGAAAAAAAGGGGGGGGAAAAAAATACATGGGTGCATTGGAGCAGAAAGAAAGCATAAAAATACGGGTGTGTGGCCACAGAAGGCAAACAGCCTCGTTGCTGCCAGAATCAAAGCAGCCGATGCATTCCCTGGCATCCGTTGCTCCATCGTGGTGCTGCCTTCCTTCCAAGCACCAGCAAACAATGTCGAGCAGAGCTGAAGAAGAACAAAAGCAGGATTCTTGTCGGAAAAAGAGATTTGGGGGGGGGGATGGATAGAGGGAGAGCTGGCGAATTTCCTTCCATCCGGGACCTCAGTCTTGGACCGAAGAGAGATAGAGCGCAAAATCCAAACGCAATTGACCCGATTCAAAATCTGGAGCATGGTTGAAGTTGCAAGAGCAGGAGAAAACTCGGGATTTGTTTTCTCCCTCTTTCAGGCAGCAAGCATACTGCTTAGGGATGTGGCCAATCATGAGATGGTCCTCTGAGATCACCTCTAGAGACCTTCAGAGCAGGGATGGGCTTCAAAAACATTAGCAAGGGGTTCTCTGCCCGATTGCTGGCTGGGCATGGCCATGGTGGGTGTGGCCTAGTCCGCCTCCTGCACCATGGTGGGTGGGGGGGGTGTTTTTGTCCTCCCCGGGCTCTGGAGGCTTTCCTCAAGCCTTCAGGAGGTCGAAAACGGCCTCCCCAGGCTCCGGAGGCGCTCTGGAGGCCGGAAACGGGCTTCCCGAACTTCCGGTAGGCCCATTTTTCACCCTCCTCAAGCCTCCACGTGCACCATGCACTTACCTGCATCCAAAAAGGGCCGCGTGGGGACTCCTGGGAGGTGTGGGCGGGGCCAGCCAGGAGTGGGATTTGGGGCAGAGGTGGGTTTCAGCAGGTTCTGACCAGTTCTGGAGAACCGGTAGCGGAAATTTTGAGTAGTTTGGAGAACCGGTAAATACCACCTCTGACTGGCCACGCCCACATCTACTCTCTGCCTCCCGAGTCCCAGCTGATCGGGAGGAAATGGGGATTTTGCAGTAACCTTCCCCTGGAGTGGAGTAGGAGTGGAGATTTTACAGTATCCTTCCCCGCCACGCCCACCAAGCCACACCCACAGAACCGGTAGTAAAAAATTTTGAAACCCACCACTGATTTGGGCGTTCTCCGAACTGCACAGAATCTTAGCTAGAGGTTCTCACGAACCCCTACGAACCCCCAGCGGCCCAGCCCTGCTTCAGAGGTAGAAGGTGACATCCTGGAGGCCAGCTTGGGTTAAAGATATAAAGATTAGCAGAGTCTTCCCATCCAACCCCCTGCTCAAGCTGGAGTTCTCCTAATACAGCCAAAGGCCAGACCAACATGGACCACAACTTCGTGAGCTTTGTGATAGCTTCACGTTGAACGTGAAGGAACTCAACCCGGTTAAGATAATTATGACCGCGCTCATATTGTAACCAGGAAGCAACTGTGAAGATGGTCAGGGCAGCCATGGGGCTGAAATGCTACATCAGAGCTACCTATGGGTAGAAGCCAAAAGAAGTCAAGCGTTGGCTGCAAGTTTGCAATCCGAGATCTGCCCTTTTCTAGGCCAATTGTCCGTGCGACACAAATATAATAGAAACGGAGCTTCAATCAATAGTCCCAGCTACCATCTTGGTATCTTTGATGCTCCCTATGGAAACCGTATGGTGGCGCAGTGGTGAGAGTGCAGTACTGCAGGCTACTTCTGCTGACTGCCGGCTGCCTGCAATTTGGCAGTTCGAATCTCACCAGGCTCACAGTTGACTCAGCCTTCCATCCTTCCAAGGTGGGTAAAATGAGGACCCAGATTGTTGGGGGGCAAGAGGCTGACTCTGTAAACCACTTAGAGAGGGCTGTAAAAGCACTGTAAAGCAGTATATAAGTCAATTTTCAATTTTTTATTTATTGATTAGTATATAAGTCTAAGTGCTGTTGTTATATCTTTTGACCTGAATCTGGGACTTCTCATGGTTAATGGGGAAGCAGCTGTTTGCAGGGAGAGAAATCCCTGGGAAGTCCAAGAAATTTCTTCCTTAAGCCCTTCCGATGCAGAATGTCTCAATAGCTGCCAAGGAAAGATTGGGAGGGTGGGAAGTCACTCGTTCTCTTATTCACCTGTTTGTTGGGATGGGATCGGTCGTATCCCAGGACAAGATTGGGGAGCTGGCTGTGCAGGAGGAGATCTGCGGCTTTAAATGGAACTGGGAAGCCTTGAACGGTGGTGCAAAAATCCGTGGTGAGCCAGAGGTACTGGGAGAACGCATCGACAAAGATGTACTGTGGAAGGAAGAGAAGGAAGAAAGGAAGGAGAAACAGGTTAAAAGAACAAGTCAAGAGACAGCTATGCAATTGCGAGTGACGCAATACATTTAACTATGGTTTTATGGATAAACTCAAGTTAGTTGGATCGTACACCAAGCCCCAAAACATGGAGAGGGCACCTACTACATCTCTCAAAATTAATTTAAGGTTGTTTATTAAATAGTTACTTATGCTGCACGATTGCCAACAACACAAAGGTTCTAAAAAGTTCAGGTTTGATTATCCATACAGTTATGGCACCAGGCTAGAAACCGGAAGATAGTGAGTTCTAGCTCCACCTTAGGCATGAAAACAACTGGGTGACTTTGGGCCTATCACCAGGAGATGGTGAGTTGTAGTTTTTTTGCTTTAGGCACGAAAGTCGGCTGCATGACTTTGGGTCAACCACCAGGAGACGGTGAGTTCTAGTCCCACCTTAAGCATGAAATCAACTGGGTGACTTGAGCCAACCACCAGGAGATGGTGAGTTCTAGTTTTGCTTTAGGCACAAAAGTTGGCTGCATGACTTTGGGTAAATCACCAGGAGATGATGAGTTCTAGTCCCACCTTAAGCATGAAATCAACTGGGTGACTTTGAGCCAACCACCAGGAGATGGTGAGTTCTAGTTTTGCTTTAGGCACGAAAGTCGGCTGCATGACTTTGGGTAAATCACCAGGAGATGGTGAGTTCTAGTCCCACCTTAAGCATGAAATCAACTGGGTGACTTTGAGCCAACCACTAGGAGATGGTGAGTTCTAGTTTTGCTTTAGGCACGAAAGTCGGCTGCATGACTTTGGGTCAACCACCAGGAGATGGTGAGTTCTAGTCCCACCTTAAGCATGAAATCAACTGGGTGACTTTGAGCCAACCACCAGGAGATGGTGAGTTCTAGTTTTGCTTTAGGCACAAAAGTCGGCTGCATGACTTTGGGTAAATCACCAGGGGACGGTGAGTTCTAGTCCCACCTTAAGCATGAAATCAACTGGGTGACTTTAGGCCAACCACCAGGAGATGGTGAGTTCTAGTTTTGCTTTAGGCATGAAAGTCGTCGGCTGCATGACTTTGGGTAAATCACCAGGAGATGGTGAGTTTCTAGTCCCACCTTAAGCATGAAATCAACTGGGTGACTTTGAGCCAGCCACCAGGAGATGGTGAGTTCTAGTTTTGCTTTAGGCACGAAAGTTGGCTGCATGACTTTGGGCCAACCACCAGGAGATGGTGAATTCTAGTTTTGTTTTAGGCATGGAAGTTGTCTGGGTGACTTTAGGCCAATCACCAGGTGATAGTGAGTTCTAGTCCCACAGAAACAACCCTGAGAGGTAAGTTGACTCAGAGAGAGTGACTGGCCCAAATTCACCTGACTGGCTTTCGTGCCATAAGATGACACTAGAACTCACCTTTTCCTGGTTTCTAGCCTGGTGCCTTAAACCAGTAGATCAAATTGGCTCTCTAAGTATTTCTATTGGTTGCAGCATCCCAGGTGCTCTGATCATTTCGAAACAGGCTTCCGACAAGCAGTTAATCGGGGAAGCCAGATTTGCTTAACGACCCCATGAATCCATTGATTCACTTAGCAACTGTGACAAAAAAAAGGTCGTAATATCAGATATTTATTTATTTACAGATATGACCTAACAACTGCCCTGATTTAGCAATGGGAATTCTGGCCTCAAACTGCAAGTCGTAAATCAAGGATTATCCGTCTAAATTCTCCATTCAGCAATCAAACTATTGATTTTACTTACCCTTTTGTTATCGGCTGGACTGTGGTAGAACTGAGCGATCACAGCTTGGCTGGAGTTCCCTGGGCCAAAACCAAATTTTTTGGATATCTTTTTAAACGTTTTCCCATAATCATAGGAAACATAAACCTAAGCAAAGAAAGAGGCAGACGTGAGAAATGCCAGGATTGTGTCTTTTTTTTTTTTTAATTGCAAAAGTTTTACAATTACATTTTCACCCCATTTTTCCCCCAACCCACCCCATACTCCCCATCCTAACCCTCCCAAACCCCCCTCCCCCTCCCTGACTTCCACAGAATATAATACCATCAAAATCCCCTTTTATAAAACCTGAACCCTTCAAACCCCCTTACAATTTTTCATCTTCACAAAATTCATACATTTCTATTTTTATATAATACTTTCAATGAAAAGCTATTTGATACTTCCTAATTTGATATTTGTTCTGCACATAATCTATCCACTTTTTCCACTCCCATTCATAAGTCTCTTGTGAGCGATCGGGATTGTGTCTTTTCACAGATCACTGAAACACTTTTTTTTTTCCTTCAGAAAGAAAAGAAACTCGCTGAACTTCTGATTTTTATAGGACAGAAAGTGTGTTGGTACCTTTTGTTTGTTTGTTTGTTTGTTTTCGTGGTGTGGCGACAATAACTTGGTCCTTTTTTTTTTTTTAATTTGATTTATATGCCGCCCTTCTCCGGAGACTCAGGGCGGCTTACAATGCGCTAAGCAATAGCCTTCATACTTTTGTATATTTATACAAAGTCAGCTTATTGCCCCCACAATCTGGGTCCTCATTTAACCTACCTTAGAAAGGATGGAAGGCTGAGTCAACCTTGAGCCTGGCGAGATTCGAACCAGCAGAAATTGCAGGCAGCTGTGTTAATAACAGGGTGCATTAAACCACTGTACCATCAAGGCCTTAACACCAATAAGACCAAGGAGCTTATAGTGGACTACAGAAGGAATAGATCAGACATCCAGCCCTTGCTTAACAACGGAGACCGAGTGGAGCAAGTGGGCAGTTTTAAGTTTCTGGGAGTTATCCTAAAAGAGGAGCTGACCTGGGACGCTCACATTGCAGCACTGGTCAAAAAGAGCCTTGGTAGTACAGTGGTCTAAAGCACCCTGTTATTAAGACCAGCTGCCTACAATTACTGCAGGTTCGAATCTCGCCAGGCTCAAGGTTGACTCAGCCTTCCATCCTTTCTAAGGTAGGTAAATTGAGGACCCAGTTGTGGGGGCAATAAACTGACTTTGTATAAATATACAAAAGTATGAAGGTTATTGCTTAGCACATTGTAAACTGCCCTGAGTCTCCAGAGAAGGGTGGCATATAAATCAAATTAAAAAAAAAAAAAAAAAAGGGCCCAGCAGAGATTATACTACCTGAGACTTCTCAGGAAACAACAATTGAATGGAAAACTACTGGTAACCTTCTACCACTGCACCATAGAGAGTATTTTAACCTACTGCACCTGTGTATGGTTTGCCAACTGCACGGTGGCAGATAGGACAGGAGTCCAGAGGGTCAACGTCATTGCCCAGAGGATCATTAGTTGCCCTCTCTCCTTGGAAGAGCTTTATAGCTCCCGCTGCCTTAGTTCAAAATATTTTTAAAGATCCATCTCATCCTGGGCACCCTTTTCTTTTTCTTTTTTTTTGAACTATTACCATCTGGCAGACGGTACAGGACAATAAAAACAAGGACAAATAGGCTGAAAAACAGCTTCTATCCCAGGGCAGTAACTACACTGAATTCTATGGTATAGTGCAGGGGTCTGCAACCTTAAACACTCAAAGAGCCATATGGACCCGTTTCCCACAGAAAAGAAAACACCGGGAGCCACAAAACCCTTCCCGTGCCTGAGTATTTCTTGAGCGGCCACAAAACTAGCATATGTAGTTGAATTAAACGTTCTGTTTTCTTCTGAAACTTTTCTTTTCTTGGATTTATCCATGGTTGGCCTACCGGGGGTTGAAAAGCTTAATAAATCGCGTGCCAGTGGGTGTCGTACATTGGCAGTTGTGACGCATATTTTGAGTGACAGGGAGACACAGCAGAGGGGTGAAAGAGCCACATGTGACTGACCCCTGGTATAATACAATATTAATGCAATTATCAGGAGTTTTCAGTTTCAATTATATAGAATGTGAAGGATGTGTGTTGGTGTTTTTATTTTTATAGTTATAAGGTACACGGAAGATGGCATTTAATTTCGTTGTACGATGTGCAATGACAATAAAGTAAACTAAACTAAACCAAGTTTGCAAAATGCGGGGTACTGGCGACTTACTCCTTGCCTTTACAAGAATGCGTAAAAGCAATTCCAAATTATTATTCTGGAAACAATTCCAAGTTGCTTCCTGGATGGGGACAGGGATGAGTAGAGGAGGAAGTGTGGAAATCCACCTTCACACTTTGCCTCTCGTTCCTGGTGAGATCCTTGTGAAAAAGTAACCAACTATCTGTCTATGGCACTCAGTAGGATTCTATCAGCCTCCAAACAGGGGTGAAAAAAACCCGAAGGTTTAATTCAATTAAAGCTGAGCTATTGAAGCGTTAATTTGATCTGATTATTAGCTTTAATGCATTAATTATTAATTTAATTAGCTGGGTGGTTTAATTAGTTTATCATTAAATTGGCAATTGGTTTTACGGATAAAATATTAATTATGTTTAACTTTACACGTTAATTGCCATTCCCTGCTCCAAAAAAACCGCATGCCATCTATTCAGCCAGCCAGCCAGCCTAAAAATCAGCTTTTCTTAAATTTGGCTTTTCGACATGTTGCTGCTTCATCGTTCGCATCTATGTGTTCAGGAGGGGTAAGAGCTGTAATTCAAGGGCCACCAGAATCCAAGGTTTAAAAATTGCTTTACACTTGCTGAGTTCTTTACGCGGGGGGTGGGGGGAGGAAGAAGGAGGAAGAGGAGGAGGAAGGAGAGGAGGGGGAGGAAAGAAGAAAAAAGGAGGAGGAAGGAGGAGGAGGAAAAAAGGAGGAGGAAGGAGGAGGAGGAAAGAAGGAGGAGGAGGAGAGGAGAGGAAGAGAAGGAGGAGGAAAGAAGAAGAAGAAAGAAGGAGGAAGAGAAGGAGGAGAAGAAGGAGGAGGGGAAGAGGAGGAGGAGGAGGAGAAGGGGAAGAGGAGGAGGAAAGAAGGAGAGGAAGAGGAGGAGGAGGAAAGAAGAAAAAAGGAGGAGGAGGAGGAAAGAAGGAGGAGGAGGAGGAAGGAGAGGAGGAGGAGGAAAGGAGAGGAAGAGGAGGAGGAGGAAGAGAAGGAGAAGGGGAAGAGGAAGAGGAAGAGGAGGAGGAAAGAAGGAGAGGAAGAGGAGCAAAGAAGAAAAAAGGAGGAGGAGGAGGAGGAAAGAAGAAGGAGGAGGAGAGGAGAGGAAGAGGAGGAAGAGGAAAGAAGAAGAAAGAAGGAGGAAGAGAAGGAGAAGGAGAAGAAGGAGGAGGGGAAGAGGAGGAGGAGGAGGAGGAGGAGACGGAGAAGAGGAGAAGGAGAAGAAGGAGAAGAGGAGACTAAAGCAGCAGACTCTGTTGATGCTGAGAAAAGATCAAGCTACTTCCTCTGGCAATGTTTTCCAGCCTAAATGCAAAGTTAGTATCTGATAAACAATAATTAGCCAAAGATAAAACGTAAAATACTTACATCACTAAATTTGGAACCTGGCAATGCTAAGCTGTCCCGGGCCAAAGCTACAATCACATCGCTCTTCTCCCCAGCCCAGTGAACGACCATTTGAATGTGGGAATCGTTCAAGCTAACCTGGATAAGAGAAAACGGGGTTAGACGAAAAGCAATGAAACAACGCAAGAGATATAAAAGCGAAGGAAACCTCCAACTCTCCCTGGCTTATTTCCACCCTTGAAAAAATGAGAAAGGTAGAGGCTGTTTGGTTACCTTCTATACCCATGATGGCACGCAGTACCATCTTTCGGGCACCTGAGCTGTTGCCCAACTCACCTGCAGCTGCGCGTGTGCCCCAGCTGGTGTTGGGCCTCCGGTGCGCGTGCACGCAATTCAGGAGACGCAGCTGCTCTTCGGAGCGTTCCTGCACATGTGTGCATGTTTGCGCATATGCGTACTTGCGTGCAGTGCATGCATGCGCAAAATGTTGGCACGCATGCATTGTGCATGCAAAAAGCACACACATGCGCAGTTGGTGTGACTGCGCACGCAGCGCACTGGGGGGGCCTGCACGAAACCTGCACACATGCCCAGATGGTGTGATTGCGTGCGCAGCGCATGGGGGCACGCGTGAAAGTTGTGCACATGTGCAGATGGTGCCATTGCGCATACAGCGCACAGTGGAGGAGCCTCGCTTTAGCACGGATCGCATGCCCATGCGTGAAGCGTGCAAAGCGTATATCTGTTCAGCACTTGGTGAGTAAAAGGTTTGCCACCACTGTTATATCCCTTGTGATTTGAAAGAGAAGCAAGCAGGAGCAGAACAGTGTTAAGTTCCCTGAATTCTACAGGGCTCCTGTGGATATTTTGATCATCTGTCTTTTGCCGTCATCAAGCCATGAAAAACTAACCACAATGATTTCCTCGGTAGAAGAGGATAGCTATCCAGAGTTTGTTTTGTTTCTCAAGGTCAGTGGGTTCTAGTCTCTAAACTCTGTGCTGACGTACTTTATGAATACCTTGAAGAGGGAGAGATATTGGCACTCAGATGGCAGTACAGGCAGTGGTGGGATTCGAGCAGTTCGGGCGAATCGGTAGCTCCGACAATCAGCTGAGAGCGAACCGGTTCATCCCGACGATCAAATGGGCCCACCCGCCCACCCACGCTATTTTCCTACCTTTATCTCCTCAGCTGATTCGCGCGGCAGATCTGATTGCCGCGCGAATCAGCTGCGTTAGTCCTCTGAAGAAACTCGGAAGTGAAGATTTGTTCAAACTGCGCACGCAGCTCTGAACTGGTTGTTAAGCCGGGAGGATCCCGCCACTGAGTACAGGTAGAGTCCTCGAAGTACAACAGTTCATTTAACGACCAGGGGGTTAAGGGGGAGGGCCTTCTCGGTGGGGGCTCCCACCCTCTGGAATCAGTTGCCCCCGGAGATAAGGAGAATCCATGACCTCAATGCCTTCCGTCGTTCCCTTAAAACCCATCTTTTTCAGCAAGCCGGGTTGACTTAAGAAGAAATTTTAAATTCTTTTAATCAGTCTGTGATTTCTTAACTTTCGGGCCAAAATTTATATATATTTTTTAATGTTTTTTAATATTTGTATTCTATGTTTTTTATCTTGGCTGTACACCGCCCTGAGTCCTCAGGGAGAAGGGCGGTATATAAATTGGAAATTAAATTAAATTAAATTAAAAAACAACCGTTCGAAGTTGCAACAACATGAAACAAGTGACCTAAGGACCATTTTTCACACGTCGCGGCATCTGACCGTCATGTGATTTACATTCGGATGCTTGACAACTGGTTCATACTTACGACAGCTGCAACATCCCAGGGTCGAATAAAGTCGGATTCACTTAACGTCCGTGTTACTAACTTTACAGCTGCAGCGATTCCCTTGACCAACGTGGCAAGGAAAGTCATCAAATTCACTAGGCAACTTTCTCACTGAGCAACCTCAATTTGGGGCTCATCTGTGGTTGTAAGCCAAGGCAACTTGTAACCCGGGGAGGCAGAGGCATCCAAGAAACGAACTCCCTTCGGATTGCCGTTTGATCTACTCTCTCTGCGCTTTTCAGAAACCCGTAGAGACTGATCTCTTTTGTTTAGCCTTTTAAGCCCAATTGATTTTATCTTTCGTGTTTTCATTTCACTGGCTCCTATTTTTCATATGCTTTTCTCGCTGCCATCTGTTTCTTCTAAATTGTAAGCCATCTCATGGGGCCTTTTCCAATGGAAAGGCAACTTATTAATGAAGTCAATAAATGAATATCTGAATCCAAGTCCCTCCGCACATACCTTAACTGTTATATCCTGAGTCACCCATTCAGTCCTACACTGGTTAAGAATCTTAGGAACTGTTTCCCTGGTTCTGTGGCTATTAGAGTCCCCGAGGGCTGGCCCAGTGGCTAAGATGCTGAGCTTGTCAATCGAAAGGTCGGCAGTTCCACGGTTCAAATCCCTAGTGCCGCATAACGGGATGAGCTCCCGTTACTTGTCCCAGCTTCTGCCAACCTAGCAGTTCGAAAGCACATAAAAAAATGCAAGTAGGAAAATAGGGACCACCTTTGGTGGGAAGGGAACAGCGTTCCGTGTGCCTTCGGCGTTGAGTCATGCCGGCCACATGACCACGGAGACGTCTTCGGACGGCGCTGGCTCTTCAGCTTTGAAACGGAGATGAGCACTGCCCCCTAGAGTCGGGAACGACTAGCACATATGTGCGAGGGGAACCTTTACCTTTACCTTTAGTCCAATTTATCTAGAATACCTTGGTATAAGGAAGGTGTTTTGGATTCTTTTGCCCATCTAAAGCCAGAGCTGGCAGATAAGTTCCTAATGTTTATTCATTTTCACCAGGAAAATAAAAATAAAACTGCCTTCAGAAGTTGTGGGAGCTTCATCACTTGAGACTTTGAAGAAGAGACTGGACTGCCATTTGTCAGAAATGGTATAGGGTTTCCTGCTGAGACCAGGAGGCCAAAGCAGACCCCAAGTTGGAATTTCTGCCCCCCTCCGACCCACACAAAAAGACCCCAAAGGGGGGAGACTCTCTGCAGCAACACAAACGTTCATTGCATGTTCTCTGTCCCAGGGTCCGTAGTTTGAGGACCCCTGATTTAGTGCAATATAAAAAATGCAAATAATTTTTCTGCAGACCATCAAAATTTTCTCACGGATCACAAGTGGTCCACGGACCACCAGTTGGTGACCACTGGATTAGATGACCTATAAGATCCCTTCCAACTCTGTTAATCTAATCTCTCTCTCTCTCCGCGCAATACGCTAAAAATCTAAAATGTAGTTCCTTCTAAAATAGACGTACATGTCCCAAGATCAGGCGGCTGGCCAGATTTTTCTACTTTAGAGTGTTGCAGACAAATGCTACCCACGTAATTTCCATCTTTTCACCTATTTTTGAGTTCAAAAATTGGGAGGGGGGGAGATCAGCCGTCCGGATTCTTCCAACTTGGCCCAGGATGTGGCTGAAGAATTAATGCATTTCAAGGCCCGTGACGCAAGCATCATAAATAATAATCAAAGCCAAGCAGCTGCACCCTGGATCATCACAACTGTGAGAACAAGCCTGTGCGTCTTTTGACTGTCGGAAGGCAAAGCGACACCTGCAGTTCCTTTGATCTCCTGCTTTCATTCCACTGAGAGGTCAACAAGGGTGAAAGTTTGGCTTTCAAGGGAAGGATTGGAGTTTTAGCTTTCCTGGCAAAGTGAAAAATGTCAGGATTTAAGGCAGGGTCATCCGAGAGGATTTGAAAACAAGGATTTGAAAGCATTTCAAGAAATGGTAGGGACTCGATATCTATGGATGTATGGGAGAAAATATGGGTTAGAAATGTGAAGTTTACTCAAGCCCAAAATTTAAGAGAAAATTTTTGATAAAATGTTTTATAGATGGCACTTAGATCCCCAAAAGTTAGCCTGTATGTACCCGAATTTACAACCTACAAGTTGGAGATGTAAATTTTTTTTTTTTAATGTTATCTAATTCTGGGTTTTATTTAATTGACCAAACTAAGTAACAATTTTAATTAGCAATTTTATGATGTTTGTGTGTCTATATTTTTCTTGACTGTACACCGCCTTGAGTCCTACGGGAGAAAGGCGGTATAGAAATATAATAAATAAATAAATAAATAAATAAATAAATGTGATGATGCAACATATTTTCATGTATGGTGGACATGTAAGAAAATTAAGGCATTTTGGATTAAGATATGGTGGATTATACAAAATATTCTTAAAAGGAAGATAAAATTTACTCCACGGTTGTTTTTACTGGGTATAATTGAAGGATGTACAGTTATAGAGACTAATTTGATTTTGAACTTAATAACGGCAGCCAGACTTTTGGTGGCGCAATACTGGAAGAAGGAAGAAATACCTTCTATTGAAGAATGGACATTAAAAGTAGCCAATTTGGCAGAGATGGCTAAAATCTCTGCATATTTGAAGGACCGTTCGAATGAAAGATATGTACTGGAAGGGAGAAGATGGATTGACTATATACAAAACAAATACGGGACTAAAAAGTTGCAAATAGCTTTTGAATGAAATATTTAGATGATTTTTTTTTTCCTACTTTGATATCTTAGTACCTATGGCGGAGTTAAAGAGTAAGGGGAAGTCAAGAGTTTATAGTTAGTTTGCTTAGGTTAGATTATGTTTGTTAAATGCAATACCCTGTATTTTTCTCTGGGAAGTCGGGGGGGGCGGGAGGGAGAGGGGAAGGGGGGGGGAAGGGGGGAATTTATTTGTAAACATTTTTTTTTTAATTTGATTTATATGCCGCCCTTCTCCGGAGATTCAGGGCGGCTTACAATGCGCTAAGCAATAGCCTTCATTCTTTTGTATATTAGTACAAAGTCAGCTTATTGCCCCCACAAACTGGGTCCTCAATTTACCTACCTTAGAAAGGATGGAAGGCTGAGTCAACCTTGAGCCTTGATGAGATTCGAACCTGCAGTAATTGCAGGCAGCTGGTCTTAATAACAGGGTGCTTTAGACCACTGTACTACCAAAGCTCTTTAAAACTTTTCAATAATAATAAAAAAAGAAATGGTAGGGACATCACCAAAACAATTACAACAACATCACGCGAAGTATCAGTACCGCTTTATAAAAACCTATTAAGACCAGACCTGGAATCCTGACACC